TTCTTTCCCCATCAGCTTCTCCGGCATTCTCACCGGAAAAAGATAATTGACTCCCGGAGCTTTCGTGGTTTCGTTTTTTTTGAAAACGACTTGATGGAAGAGCGAAATACAAAAATTAGAGGCCCTTCTAACCTCCTGGAAACATTTCTGCATCAAATTGGCTCATTTTTCCAACAAAATTGGGCTTACAAGGATAGTTTCTTTATTTTTAAGTGAAAAGGGGTAAGTCTCTTTTTGAAGGGATATCAGGACTTTTTGAAGGACAAGGTATTGAGTTTCATTATATTAGGCTGTCTAGAAAGTCTAAAAGTCTAATAGTTACTGAAGTTGAAAAGCTGTGCAGCCCATCCTTTCGAGTGCACATTTATAGGGCCAATTCGAAAAGTTTGCAACCAATGCAATCGATCTCATCATCATTTTTTCAGTGCTACTCATTCTCTTCATACATCTTTCTACATACGCATTTCACGATATATGCAAATCACTTTTCGCTTTCGCGTGCTTACCCATTTTGGTAAGAGTTTAGGTAAATTTTGAGCTGCCCGTTTGCGTCATTTTTCCTTCCAAAATGATCTTTTCTCCTCCAATAAGCATCACACAAAAAAGATCAGACTAAAATGTGCAAAAACTAAAACGCATTTAACAAAAATATAAAGATCAAGTTGTGCTTCAAATTGTTTTCTAATTTGCGGGGTAAAATTGAAAAAATGCAGAGTTTTAAAAACCCATTTTCCCAACAATTTTATGCGCTTAAAGGAATTAGATTTTTGAGTGCTTACAAAAATCAAATATCCAGCAAATTGCCAATGCTCTACGGGGCTCGAAGGGAATGCCATTAACCCTTGATCACCAAAAATCATTCTTCGAATTCGATTTGCGGGAGATTTGTTGAAGATTGTCTCTTTGTAAATAACCCTTTTGTAATGAGTTTAGATCAAAAAGTCACCAATTGCTTTATTTCCCGAAAATGGGGAGTTTGCAGTGATGCTTACAGAGTTACACACGGGATGTTCAAAGCTCGACCAGTTTCAGTAAGATTGGCATCTCGCTTCTATCTTGTCACAACTCAAACTTTTACCAGTCACATATTTTCCTTCCATTTCATCCTCAATCTCCAGTACTTCCGAATCTCCAAAAACCCATCAATAATTGCTTACGACTTATCCACAATTTCCTCCCGGTTTCTTTTTTTCCAAAAAGGAAATGGAGAATGGAAGCCCCGATAGTTTTTTTGTTCGATTCCCATTTCCCTCAACACACACCGATGGGACCAATACCAGCAAATTATGTAGGCAGCAAAAGGGATGAAATGGGGAAAAGAAAATAGAGAGAAAAGAGATAATCTCCCCTCTTTTTTCATTTCTTTGAGATCCATTGTGGATTACCTTTTCCTTTTTTTGATCTCTCAAGACTCTCCATTTCATATATTGAAATGGCCGATCGGCTAATCGCTTTTTGAGCCCCTCAACCTCACCACCACAAAATTTTTGGCTTGTGTTATTGGAACGTGACGATGTAAGCTTTTTGTGAGATAAAGAGCTAAGACTAATTAGAAAAAGAGCTCATTGTTAGCAGAAAAAAAAGTACCACCAATCTCAGTGTAACAAAACAGATATGAGCTCAACGGTACCAAATTTCGGTTGTTAAAAAGCTTAGTTAGGAAATAATGGATAGGATAATTTCGAACACTGAAAAATGATTTCTAAACTCAAAAAAGTCCAGAATAAAGTGCATTTTAAAAGCTTAGGGTTCTTTCAAAACTCGAACAATCAAATAGGGGAGTGAAAACTTTGAAAGATGAAGTAGACAAAATAGAGAGATCTGTTGAATGAAAAGGGGAACTCAGGGTCATAAAGAACCACGTTTCTCCAGAGAAAAAGCCACCCCATTTTGGGCCATTGGGAGAAGAGTTCAAAGGGAGGTTGGCAGTACAAAAAACCGGTGAGTCTTTTCCTATTTGCCTTTCTTGTCCTATTCTCCTTATCCACTCTCTTTTGCCATTCCTTTGCGAATGAGGGTGGTGTGGCGGAAGTTGTTCCGCACCCCCACCCTTTTCCTCCTCTTGCCATTCACAAACCACCGCCCACCCCACGCTCATTGCTTGAATTACCCCCAAAAAAACTTAAGAATTTAACTGAGAACAGATTGAGAAGAAAATGAGAGATATTTGTATGTCTAGGCCAAATCATTCTTCATCAAGTAGCGCCTTGCGAATAGAACTAAATGAAACAAGACTTTACTTCTTTTGAAAGCAGCACAAATATTATTTTACTCGAATACCATAAGATTTCTAAAGACCACCCGCATAAATAAGTAAATCGTCTTTGAAATTTTCATTTCTAGAGAACTAAATCGATGTGTGTTTGCACGGGATTATCGTTTAGGAGAGTATTTCCGGTTTTATTTTATGCAGTTCATTTTGGGGCATTTCCGATTGGAAAAGAAAAGTGAGGGAGTAAATTTAAAAGGTGTTGTTTGGAGATGTGATACCTGTATGTGCATCACAAGAGGGATCACCGTCTGAGACGAAAGTTGTCGATGAGGACAGCTCGTACTCCTTCAAAGAACAATCTTGTTACTGTGGCTTTGTTACAAGTGCTCTTCGTCCTTTCAAAAAGTACTTGTGTCATGAACTCGCTTGTTTTATAAACTCTTGCTAGAAATCCCCGGTACAATTTACGTGAAACTTCAGTTACCCCTAGCAATTTGTGCAATAAATTTGTGCTCACTAACCGAATCGCTGACCTTTGATGAGCGGGATAGGAGTGCGGGCAGCCGCAAGGGCCGCACGCCCGCCACACGAGTCGTCGCTTCGTCCAGACGACTTCGAGGACGAGAGCGGATGAAAAGCACAGCGAATTGGATCGAGTGTCAAGTGGCACAGCTTGACTCACCCACCCATCAATCGAAGAATCAAAGTGGGGAAAACTGATGATGAAAGGGGGAAAAAGAGAGATGAAGGGGGATGTATGTGTGAAAATCCGTTCTCGCTGTGATGAGCCCAAGCTGTGTCGTGATGGCAACCAATGGATGGATAGGCCCTTCAGGTGTCCATCTTTTTAATTTTTCCCCTTCATCACCCCTCTCTTCTCATTTTTTTCTTAATGGGGATCTTCTTGTTATTGTCGGTTTTCTCGGGAGACCCATAGATTTATCTTCTTTCGATCTCTCAATATTTCCTTCTTTTCCACCTTCACACACCTCTTTTGGTGTCTCTTTATTTGGAATATCCCTTCTTTTTTCGAGCTTCTCTCGTCTCATTCCACTCGGATTACGATAGGTTTCTCTACATTTGATGATTCTAAAAGTTGAATATTTCTACAATATGACGACCAATGTTACCATCCAACTTTTCTGCACGCCGAAGCTTTTTTCTTTAAAGGAGACTTTTTCTTGCACAAGACAGTCTCAAAACTAATCTCCGTTTCCTTTTATGTTTCAAGTAAGTTTGCAGTACCTTTATAAAAACCGCAACAACGAAAAAAAGGTGGAATCCATGGGAACCCTTTGGGAATGCAAGTATCGAATGGAGAATTAAAAGGCTTTCTTTTTCTTTTTTTTTCTAACCTATAATCACCTCTCATTTGCAACTACAAACATCAACTCAAACGAATGGAAAGAATAAATGGGCGGAAAGGACAAAGAACGGAAAGTTTGAGAAATGTTTGAAATATTGAATTCGAGTGACTTGTCAAGTGGAGATATTGAATTATGGATTCCTTTGAGCTTTTAGAGAGTCATCTAACTTGTAAGGGGTTTAGGAAACAAATTCACAGTGATATTCTCATAAGAGAATGTTGAACAAGATGCTTAAACTTTGATTGACAAATAATTTTGAAAAGACTTTTGAACCTGCGCTGGGCTTTTAAAATCAGGTTTGATTGTAATATATCCAAAAAAGCATGGTCAAAAACCCTAATAGGAAAAAAGGTTCAGCAATTGAACCAGATGGTAAAACAGTTTGCATGTTTGTTCAGTAAAACATTGATAATGATAAACAGACAAAAGAGAAACAATTAGCGGAAGTGCCAAAGTGGAGATAAGTACAGAGAAATGATTTGGGGCAGTGAGCAGAAGCGGAAAAGCGGAGACGGAAAAGGAAGGGGGAAGGGAGAAAGGGAGAAAGGGGATGAAAAGAGGATGTGTTTGGAGATCGGATCAAAATTTGGACGGAAAGAATAGAAAAAAGAAGAAGGAGATGAAGATGAAGAAGAGCTACTGAAGAATGGAAAGGAGGAGGGGAAGAACCGGACGAACACCCGGTGAATGAAGGAAAGGAAAGGTGATGATGCTTTGAATGGGGGAAAGATGCAGTAGACCAGACAGGCAATCATCGGAATAAACATTAGGCTTTCCAGAAAGTCTTTTCGTTTCTTTTCGTACTACGAAAAGACTTTCTGGATAGCCTAATAGATAGGTCGGGGCTAAGAAGTTTGGCGCCAAGACGTTTCCTAAATATTAGGAATCAAGAAGTCTTGGATAAGGTTAGGACCAAGGATGGGACAGTTTAATATCAAAATTTCACAATTGCAAATCTCAAAACAGCCGCTTACCTCGATTCAACTCCATCCATACATAAATCAATATTGGACAAAAACACGTTGAAATCTGTGGTGCACTTTTTAAAAAGTATTCTTGCCGAGAAATAAAACAACTCAAAGAGGAATGCAGGTGGAAATCTTTTAGTCGACAACGAGACTCCTAGGAGATTTCCTTCTCCACTTCCCTCTTTCTAAATTTCCCCATTTTACACTGATCACTTGAAAAGCAAGCCCAAATTTTATTGGTACCATGCCAAATTTAAGCACACGCCAAAAGGATTTATTTGAATGAAGCTTTTAAGTTGTGTCTTATTAAACAATCTCATCATTTCTCACCATCTCTATAAAATTTGTGAATTAGTAAATACATTGACAGAAAATCTTTATTTATATAAAGTTTACAGTGCACTGCAAACACAGAAAAAATGTGTATGGAATAAATTTTCCCTATAAAAATCAGACGGTGAACTCGAGGGGATTTGTGAGTGATCGTCTTTCCTCATCATTTGATGAGCCCGTTGATGGCCGCAGATTTCCACCAACTCGTCTCGGTTGCAGTTCTCGGGCCTCCTAGAAAAATAGGTAAATCCAGTAAAGTTTGAAAGTTTGAAAACATCCTTTTACACAACTTAAGACAAATCTTAATCTCAAATCTCAACTTTGTATATAAATAGATTTACATAACGACGGTAGCCTTTTTGAAACGCTTTAGAAACCGCATTGATCTTTAGAAACCGCATTGATCTTGATCACCCACCTCGACATCATAGAAGTTATGTAATGGAATTGCAAGAGGAGTGGCAGTTGATTGAACCATCGCTCTCAATGGACTTTTCGGCACATCATTAAGGACTCCTGGAAAAGTGACTTTTTGAATCTTATTTAAATGTATCGATTTCCTTTTCATACTCACTAATATCATCCCTTATTTGTCGTATCAAATCATCGGTGTCCGCTTCGACTAATGTGTGTCTAAAGAAAAACTTTCTCGTATTGACAAGAGTTAAACTTACTTGCACAAATGATTGATGATCCCCGCCCCAAAGCCATCACCCAAAACATTGACTGAAGTTCGGATTCGATCCCTAAGTGTTTAGCTTTCTGATATGTCAGTTTAGCTTTCAAGACTTACAGCAACCAATCAACAGTCAATAAAAGACTGAGATCTTTTGCTGGAAGGCCCACAGTGTTCAGCACAACATAAATTGTGTCAAGACCGGCTGGCACGGATCCCGATCCGATTGAAGCGACTGTTGTGGTGATACTGAACACAAACAATCATTAGTACATTTGCAAATGCTAGCATGGCGCATTATTTATAATTGTCGAAAAATAAACCTAATTGTGAGCAGATCGAACATTGTCAGTTTGATATTATGCAGTTGAGCGATAAAGATCACAGCCACAGCCTCGTATAGAGCCGTTCCATCCTGAAATCCAAGCGGTGATAGGAAAGAAATGAGGTTTAACCATTGTGATAGTGGCCCCAAGAGGTAACACAAAACGCGTGACTCGTCGATCGATTTTCAAATTTTCTTCTAATGCTCGGAATGTCACCGGTAAAGTTGCTCCGCTAAAAAGCTTTTTGGTTTTTAGATACAACTGCAATTTGCACTAAACAAAGAATAAAAATAGTCTCTTTATTCGTCTTGCTATTTACCGTACCTGGAAGCTGTTCCAAAAGCCGTAGCCAGTGCTTGAAGCATTCCAGTCATGAAATTGAATGGACTTTTCCGAGTGACCACGAAATAAAGAAGGGGTAAAGTGAGAAGTGAATGGATCATGAGACCACAAATTACCGTCACAACATACATGGCGAGAGCCTTCAAATAGTACGGATTAGTGAAAATGCTTGTAATTTTACTTGAGCTGTCTCGGAAAGGTTCTCGACTTTGACAATGTTTTGACAAACGAGCGACAAGATACCAACAGGGTAACACCTAAATATCAATTTCTGAGTGAATATACAGGGTGTTCCAAAAGTTGTACGGGACCTTTTGGATCACCCTGTATTCTAGATGACAATTTATTTCATTTAAAAACAAACCACATCAAGGCTGACACCCATTTCATGATGATCGCATCGAGAACGATAAAGAAATCAATCATAAGACGAGCCTGTTCACCCAATAACGACAGAATCACCCCGAATCCCGTACAGAAAACAACCAGGCCTAAAATTTGGGATGAACCGAAAAATATCCACACGAACCAAGAACATTCATTTCATTTTGATACGTGAGCACGGGCTTGAACTTGTCTCCAGCTGTCGCATTCCCTGTACCGTTTCGTATCAACTGTAACTTTGTTTAGCAAAAATTCTTTCAAAATTTTTTTAACACATCCCCGAAAAAGTCATTTTTGGCTTGGCTGTCGTTTCGGACGACAGCTATCTAAGATAGCTGTAAACCTGCAAATTTGTAGCCCGAGGCATTCTGGGATGGAGAATCTTAATCCGTTATTAGTTTTTGAGCAACTTTAATTTCCGAGCCAATACGGTTATCACAAAACGCTTTTAAAAACTTGGGTAATTAAACCAAATCGGAGAGGAAAAGGCGAAACCTAATTTGGGTTTTGTCTTTTATCCCTAGAGGTCGCGAATGTGTTAAAACTGGATACCTTCGGCTTGATGGCGATGTATTCTGTTTGTCGTTGTTGGAAAGTGGCCTGGACGATGTTCTCAGGAAACATATTTCTGAGAGAAATGAGTATTGTGTAGGCATTGTTCCCAACCTGATCTGATCCAAGAAAGCATCCAAAGTGGAGAGTGGGGTATGTTCAAGAGTGCCCTCACCCAATGAATGAATCAATGCCGGGTCTCCTGGATGAATTGACGATACCAAGATTATTCCTGTCTAAAGAAAGGGTTATCTAATCACACTTGATAATTATCAATTCAACTCACAAACGTGGACAGGAAGGTGGTGATCATATAATAAACAACTGTCACACAGCCAATCCGACGCGCATCTTTTGGTCGAACTTGAGCGAGAGCTGAAAGGAAAGTTCGTTTAAGGGGTTGGATACTGTAAGTGACTTAAAGATTGAAATATGGATAGTTACCAGAAATGACGGAAGAGATAATCAATGGAAGAATCATCATTTCAACGAGTTGCAGGAAGATCTCTCCGGGAAAACCGATCAAACTGACTGTGTCTTGGCTGAAAATTTTATGAAATAAGCTTCTTCGAATTGTTTTGTCTAAACATTTGATTAACCATCACTTCTTTCACACATTTCCTTCTCTGAAACGAACCTGGGATTGAATGGTCGAACAACGAAACCAAGCACAACCCCAAAAACGACACATTCAATTGTAAGAACAAGAAGTAAATCCTTTTTCATCCCCATTCCAGATCGATGAGCCACGTTTGAAATAATCCAAGTTTCGCTTTCACCGAAAAGCTAACGGAAAAACAAGAGTGAAGCACGGCTTTCGATAGAATTTAGCCACAGCTGAAACATTCATAAACACGTTTTTGTTATGGCCAACTCAGAACAAACTGCTAAGTATTTAAACTGTCAAAAAGTAAAATGAAAAGTTACTAGAGAAAAACAAAGAGTTCAAAAATTAGAACTAAGCATTTCTGGATTCATCAAAATATGTACAACAAATTGAGTGAAACGTTTTCCTTCCGAATGATTGGATATCACACGTCGATCGGTTTGCTCTTTTCCTCTTGCCTTTTTCAGAATGATTGTGCTCGATTTATGCAAAGTCTGGCCGAACCTGCGTCAACTAGCAACAAGAAGTGAAGAGAAGGCAAAACCCCATCACTATTTTTGATTACAGGGTGATCCAAAAGTTCCCGTGCAACTTTTTACTAAAACTTGATTTTAAAATGTTTGAGGAAAGCTATTCAACGAAACTTTTTAAAAATAAAAAACCTTATTAGAATTATACTTAAAACCACTAATAAGGAGCCCATAGTTCATCATAGATTTTTTATATGGTTGGCCCTTTGAGCCACACACAAGTGGTCGACGGCACACTGTCAAAATCGACTTTCTTTTCAATTTTTGCTGCGCGGCTCAAAGGGCCAACCATATAAAAAAGCTATGGTAAGCTATCGGCTCCTTATTAGTGCTTTTAAGCAAGTTATTAGTGCTTTTAAGTAAGTTATTAGTGCTTTTAAGTAAGTTATTAGTGCTATTAAGTTTTAAGATCCCTCCCCCAAAAGTATAACCCACAAGTACCGACATTTACCTCTTTTATGGTATTCAAATCAAATATTGATACGTTTGTGTTTTTACTTTTTCCTTTAACTTATAAAGTTGATGCCAATTTTCGAGCACTTCATCCAATCATTTTGGCAAAAATTCCCAAAATCGTGAAAAATCTTCACCCACCAAATGTGTCAAAAGGCACTTTTTGTATTTTTCTCCGGATAAGACTGATTACATCAATTGATTTAAACTGATCTCTGTCTTAAGATGATTTCATTGAAAAGTGGCGCACAAAAAGTAGCTGACTGAGAAAAAATCTCTGAGAAATACCATAGATCAGACAATGAGATGATGCAGAGTTGACTGAGAAACGCCGATTTTTCAGTTTGGATGTCAAATTGAGAAAGTTCTGGAATGAGTGATTGATGAGGAGTTCGAGAGATCAAACGCTCTTTTGGAGAAAAAAGACTTTCTGAATTCCTTTCTCGTTTATTTCTGTCTTATCACGTGGTTTTCGTATAAAAAGCGGTGAGATGAGGGAAATCGGAAACAGTTGAAACCAATAATCTTCGAAGAAATGATCCGCTTGCTCTCATTGGTTATCGTATTCCTTCTTGCCAACACTCTTCTTGCTCAATGGAGTCCATTTGGTAAGTGAGTTTTGATAGGAACATAGTATAGCCTTGCTTATCAGTCAAAGCTGTGCAAAATGGGAAAAGGATTACGGTAGAAATGAATACAAATGCTAAAGTATTCAGCTTATATGTGATTTAGATTTGGCATTAATTTGACCAATAAACACAGAATACTAAATACCGTAGTTAAGCAGCTATCAAGCTTGTAAGTATGGAATGGCGACAAAGTAATCGGATGCATTACATTTCTTTCTTTGTTGTGTAGAAAAGTACACGTGTTTTATTTAGTCTACAAAGCTGAAAGCTTAAAAACCACAGTAGTCATCGACCATAGTTTCCTTTGTGATATCCCCTCGATTTATGTCTCAAGCAAAAAAAAACTCCAAAGACACACTACATCACAAACAAAAAAAACGAAAGTGAGAGAAATTTCTCTATTTTCTCTTCATTTGACATCTTATAGTTGAGATTTTCTCTCGAATTCCCTTTTCCTTTTTAGTTGAGACTAAAAATATCAGAGCGTAGTTCTTGTTGTCACTTGTTTAGTAGATCATTCAAATCACGTGCAACTTCTTGGGGAAAACTCAAAATTTGAGACAAACAACCGCCCCAAATTGAGTACTTAAATGAGGTGATTGACTGATTTTCATCAAATATCCAAGTAATTGTTTTCTAAAATGCGCTTCCTTCTTACTCTACTACTTTTGTGCGTTTTATGCATTACCCTGGATGCTAGACCACAATTCAAACAGTTTGGTGAGTAGATTAAAGTAAACTAAAGGCCAAAAATGACTTTCCTTGGAGTTTTGACCTTACTATTGGGAAAAATCTTGAGTCTAACTATAAATCTGATTTTAAGTAAGCTGAAGCTTACTTTAAGCGTTTGAAGTAAGCTTTAAGCGCCATATCTTTTCGCCATATCTCATAAGCGCCATATCTTTTTCGATAAATGCTGAAAGTTGAAAGATGTCTAACAATTGCGTTTTTTTCAGTTTACTACAACTCGGGCCAAAACGCATGGAATGGAGACTTCCGGGCTCGTCGTGAGATTTGGCAAGGATCGTACTACAATCCATTGGCCATCGCTCCCATCTCTGATTGGGGACGATAAGAAAAGAAAACGGATGAACAATTGAATATTTCCAATATTAATTCAAATCCTTATTTCATAAGCTATAATACGAGAATAATCCCATTTCCCCTTCACTTCCTCCTTGTGATTCCACTCAAAAGTCATCACCTTTACGGGTATCAATAATTCCAATAATTTAAATGCGTTTTTCATTTTGAATGTGTCAATAAATTCATACAAGTAAAGCTTTTATAAAAAGTATACAAAAGCATCAAAGAAACCCGAACAAAGATCAGACCAAGAGAAAAGTTCGTAAGGAATCACTGAAAGCAAAAAAGGTTTGGAAAGGTACATATCATGATCGACGAAAAGTATAACGTGCTAATGGAATATTTAACTAGATCAGTATCCATCAATTTTTGTTATATAATTCATATGAAAACATTTATTGCAGGGATTACCATATCCCCTAATAGTAAGAGTCAAAGATGTGAGAAATAAATAAATTCGCTGTTTTTTACGTGTTACTTTTTTTATCACAAATTTAGCCTTGACTTTAATTGTAAGATTCAATTTGAATAGCACTTTTCTGCTGAATCTTCCTATCAGAATTCCTCTCAGAAAACGCATCCTTGGCAGCAATCAGCCAACATTTCGGTTGCTTCCGCCTGAAAATGTTTCTAATAAAAATATTTTCCTAAATGTTTTGCAGGTTGATTAACGATGAGATCATTTTGCAGAAAACGGGGAAAATATTTGTGAGAAGTGGGTGATGTTTATCAGAGATTGAGATGATAAATATGCGTGTGATACCTGAGTCTCTCCGTTTTTCAACCGTTCCGTTGTTTCTTTGAGTTTCTTTTTTCGGCGATTCGAAATAAGACGCTCGATTCCCTGAAAAAGAAAGAGATTGGAGAAAAAGCCTTTCTGTACTTGACGAAATCTTTCTAGGGGAGTGATTTTTGATATGGAAAAGAGAAAAATGAGATGATTGATTTTTTGGGCTTTTGATCTTTCCATTTCTCATTCCTATTTCACGGAGAAATACCTTGAAAATCTTGATTGTCCCCACAACATTACACATTCGACCAAACATTGTGACAAATACAAGAAGTACAGGAGATGGACCGGCATCGACAATCACTGTCCCACCATCACCTCCATCATTATTCGGCGTCACTCCATCTTCCGACGTTTTGTTTAGCTTGATTCCTGTAGGCACTATATCGTATTTGCATAATATTTGACACACCAGCTGCCGCAAAATTCTGTTCAATTTGTGATTGAATGACATCTCGATCAAGTGAGGCTTTGATCAAACCGAGCCCCGTTCCAATGACGTTTAGTATCACACCATACATGATCATTGCATAGGCACCTAAGTTAAGACATTGTTCAACTTGATCAAATCTGCGACTGTGTTCGATCAAACCGAACTTTTCCCCAAGCAACTCACTCGATCGTCCTTTGTTCCTTCGAAATTTCTGAATCTTTGTGATGAAATATTCTTTTGAGCCAAATTTCGGCTTTCGATAGTATTTGTTGCGAGCCATCGATTGCTTCTGAATAGAAAAAAGTTTCTTGTAAAAAGATTACAAAGGTCAATAAAGGTATACCGCATTTTCTCTAATAGTAGTGCACCATGAGCGTCGCCTAAATTGCTCGAAATTTCGAGAACCGCTTATCAGAACCTATCGATGTGGGGTCGGAAAATGTAGATGATGATGAGATCTAGTAGGGGGTTTGAGTGTTGAGCTTCTGCAAAAGCTTGGAAACCGTAAAATCGTCACCAACTCGGCTTGTCGGGGTGCACTACTATTAGAGAAAATACGGTATATAGTCGGAAATATCCCACACAAATAAACTGATACGTTTTTAGTTTCCCGATCAATAAAAAGGTTTTTGTAATCAGAATCTGAAAATTCAATACTGTGGAAGTCTTTTGTTGGTTGTTTGAAAGAAAATTGATCTCCTGTATGTGTCAAATCATCGTAGGATTATCTCGACGGCTTCCCTCCGTAGATAAGAAAAAAAATAAGAGGGATTTATTGCGAAAAAAACAAGAGTCCCATGAAAATACTCAACTAAATTAAATGATGACTTTTACAGGGTGACCAGAAATAACGTTGCGGGATTTTCGGCAGCCTAAAATCCTCAAAGTTTCAATTTTGGGAGACAAATTTATTTTTAACCTATTCTCTGTGATTGTTTTTATTAGTTTCTTTGTTGTTTTACTTTGTTTCAAGTTTATTCATTTTTTTATAGGATGACAAACAAGGGATCTGCCATTCTGGAGCTTCATCGTCAAGGTCAATGCGTGAGTGCGATCGCGCGATTGCTACGTGTTTCTCATCAGCTCGTATCAAAAGCGATTAAGTGGTACAAGGAGCTTGGCAACGATGGAGATTGTCCAGGAAGAGGCAGAAAAAGAACAGTCAACCCCTCCAGAAATCGCAAAGTGATTCAGAAGCGCGTGGCCCGGAATCCACAGGTCTCAATGAGAAAGATCGCTCGACAGACGGGGATCGCTCGCGCATCGGTTCGACTTATGGCCAAAAATGAGCTCAATCTTCACCCTTACAAGCTCAAGCAAGGGCAAGAACTCGACGACGACAACAAACGAGTTCGACTCGAAAGATGTCGAGAGCTTCTCAAGCGGGCCGCAACTCCAGACTGGGAGCGAATCCTGTTTTCTGACGAGAAGCTCTTCTCGGTGGAGCAAAGCTACAACCACCAAAACGATCGGATTTGGTCAACGTCCTCTCCAGGTAGCTCTGCGATTGTTCAACACCGACCAAATCTCAAATCGGTCATGATATGGCCCGGGATCTCCGCAACCGGCAAACTCCTCTCATTTTCATCGATTCTGGAGTAAAAATCAATAAGGATGTGTACCAAAAAAAGATTCTTGAGGATGTTTTGCTTCCATTGGCCCAACATCATTTTGGTAACGGATTTTGGACCTTCCAACAAGACTCCTCTCCTTCTCATCGAGCCAAATCCACACAGGACTGGTTTAGGACAAACTTTCCGGATTTCATCTCGGCCCAGGAATGGACTCCGTATTCGTGCGATCTCAATCCGTTGGACTACAGTGTTTGGTCAATTCTGGAGGCAAGGCCTTGTGCAAAACCCCACAAAAGTTTGGAGGCTCTTAAGCGATCGTTGACCAGGGAATGGGATCGAATCACTCCGGCCGAGCTGCGGCACATCGCCGAAAACTTCATCAAGCGTTTGAGGCTCTGCATCGGAGCCAAAGGTGGCCACTTTGAAGAAAAGTAGATTTTATGCTCTCTTTATATCATGTTATTAATAGAAAAGTGTTTCTGTTACAAAATCTTTTTGGAGTTTTAAAAAATAGGCTAAATTAGGCCGCAACGTTATTTCTGGTCACCCTGTATTGGAGAATTATTCGTTTAACGTATTAGAGAGGACTCTAATCTCAACACTTTGAGGCAGGAAACTTTTGCTCAGTTCTTGCATGTACACTTTTGCATGTAATTTTTATGTTTACTTCATCAGAAAGCCAAAAAACGTGAGAAGCTAATGAAGAAGAGGACACAAAAGACATTCTATAGCACAGGGGATGCTCAGCGACCTGAATAAATAATTGCCCGTACTAGAAAAGAAAAAAGTTTGCAAGAATTTAAGGTAGAAAATCTAGAGAATATACAAAATAAGAAATAGACCCTAATTGCTTGGATGATAACTTCTTTCGAAGGAAGAAATATTCAATGTTTTGGGGTAGCACCTGTAAAGACCCGTTTTGGGGAGAAGAAAAGGAGAAAACATTCGAGAACCACTTTCAGAGTTAAATTGAAAGTTTTAATCACAAAACAAGTTGAGAAATAGACTAAAATTGGGTGATCTTCTTGCAAGAAGAGAAACGGAAATCAGATTCGCGAGATTCGCGTCCATCGACCAATGATGGACTGCCGGATGGGGAACGGAAATTGTTAAGACTTCTGAAATTTGATTTTAGAAAACTGACTGATAATGGATTTCGACTCTACTAAGAATGTCTTCACTAACACATCACATCTAACTCTATTCCTACCGTCTACTCTACTTTTCTTCTACTCTCTACCACTCTACCTTTAATTATTGATAGTTGTATGTATAAGAGTTAGCGTAATACTCCGTTCATAATCATTTCTTAAACAATTACATCAATATTTGTCATGTAGGTAAAACTTACCTATTCGAGGCTCTAGTCAAAGTTGTTTGTTCAGTTGGTAATGTGGTTGAGAGATAATTTGGTGGTCTCTTTTTAATGGTCTGCGGAGAACTTCCCAATCGTAAGGTCGTTCTTGTCAATGTTCGGACTCGTTCGTATCTGAAAATTTGTCTATGACATTTAATATTCCATAATAATTGGATAGCCAATTCATTACAGAAAACAAAAGAGAATGAAGTGACTCACCGATTTCTACATGGTAACAACAATAATCGATGGAATGCACGCCGATATTTTAATGAATAGGCAATATAGATTACTGGATTCAACGATGAACTCAATAAAGATAACCACTGAAAATTCATTTTATTTTGCAAATATTTTAAAAAAAACCTGAAAGAACGGTCGGAGAATTGTCGAAGCGACTCTCATAAACTCCGAATCGCCGTCAGAAATGAACAAAAAGTAGAAATATATGGCTGAAAGTTCAAATTCTGAATAGAAATCGCTTTTTGAAGCTTCTAAGAGAAAAGTAAAGATAAAAATCTGATCTCTTTTAATTATAAGGTTTCTTTGGGCAACAAATTAAGCTCTCAAATGGATTTACGCGATGAAGGATTAACTTTGGGAGGATAAATAAGTCGCTTTGAAGAACTAGGGCTATGAAATACCATTTTAGTATTTCTCTGTCAAACTTGTATTTTAAATACATCGAAAATCACTTACAATATAAAGGAACCCAACAGAGAGCAAAAAAGGCGATTACTGTGAGCATCATATGGGCCACACGAAGCTTCACTCGTTCATCCCGAATCTGAAACGAGAATTTGAAATAAATGATTAATTCAAAGAACTCCCAATAACAGTTTTCCAAAACAAACATGCGCATCAACAGCGAGACTTCGATGATTGGACACTCGAATAAAGATCATCGTGTAGAAGACAAAAATTAAAATGAATGGAGCGATGAAGCCGAGTAGAAGATTGACGACAAGGAATTGAATCTCAAATTGATAATGATAAGAAGAATGAAAAGAAGAATGAAGAGAAGGTATTTAAATTCTCAATGTGTTTATTTGTTTAACGATTAAAACTTTATCAACAGCAAGTCTTTTTTTAGCAAAAAAGATGGTCAGACTCACCCGTTCATCCGACGTCGATGAGCACAGCCAAATATGGGCTAATCGATTGTCTTCAGTCAAATAGTCGAATTTCACCTGAAGTCAAAATTTATGTGCAATTGTTGTGATAATTTTTTTTACCGTGTCATAATTATAAATCTGTGGAGATGCCATACTTCCAGAGACAATCCAAATACCCGCAATGATGTACAAAGTGTACTTGGTGTCCCATTGGGTGTACTAAAAGAAATACCTACCGTAAATACTGTAACTGAAGGGCATGCCCTTCTATTTTTGCCCTATTCTTTTTCGGAGTCCCCGAAAAAGCACATAGGGGGGGCATATAAAATTTTTAAAAAAACTTTTAAAATCACTCTAGCTCGATTGGAAATGCTCTGAAACGAACGAAAAGCATGTTTAAAACAAGAAAAAATTTTCAGCCTTGAGCCCTGGAGGTCGGACTCTCGAAAATGATAAGGATCCCCCTTACAATTTTTTTTAGTTCCTTTTAAATTTTACTGCCAACCCTTTTAGGTTATACACGCGAGCCATATATATCATTCTAAGCACTTTTCAGCCAAACTCTTTTTCAAAAGTAGCGACTTTTTGGGTGACCAATTTTGTATGGGGAGGGTGCCTTTCAATTACAGTATTTACGAGAGCTACAGTCGACTCTCTCTATAACGGAATGGAAGGGACCAATCATTTTTTCCGTTATATGGAGCTTTCCATTAAATAGAGTCCCGTGATATATAGCTTAGTCCGGGACCAAAATTCCATTCCGTTATATAGAGCTTTCCGCTATATAGAGTTCCGTTATAGAGAGAGTCGACTGTATATTAGATTGATGATATTCATCATCAATCTAATATACAGTCTGTTCGTTCCTTTTCATACTTCTGTTGAAAAAATAACAAACTCACCAATTAACCTATGGTCTAAATCCACCAATTAACTCTGAATAAAAAGTGTTTATTGTTCAATTTCCCATTTTTTAAAGTCAGTTTGGGTTCACTTTCAAGCAAATTCGAGAATGAAAACGGGTTTTTTCGTTCAGACATAAGACATTTTAAACCCGTTTTAATGTTATTTTGGCCTTTCTAATGAAACAAATCATAGTTCAATTGGTGCATTTGTTGGTTTTAAATGGAAGTACGAAAAGGAACGAAAAGCCCTTCTGGAAAGCTTCAATCATAAATTCTATCGGTTCTTTTCAAAGTTTAAAGCTAGACAATTTGTGATTTAACAAACCTTCAACGTGTGACAAATAGCCATGTATCGATCGGCGGTGACAGCAACAAGGGTGAATATTGAGGCACAAGATGTTGTCGCGTTCACCCAAACAGACAATTTACACGCAAATGAGCCAAGTTGCCACTCTGTAAGGGTAGAATTACTTTATCTCAACTGATTCCAGTATTTATTGCAAATTTAAACTGGTCAACAATTGTCCCGTAGACAGCCTACCGTTAGTCACCCATGTCAGATCACCTATCATGTGTTATCAAAAAGTGATTTCTGTTTGGATTACTCGTTTACTTTTTTATCTAAAGTTAAATCCCCACTCGCGGAATTATATTGTGTAAAAAAATCGCTGAACTATGCAAGAAAAAAAGAATGCAAAGCAAAGCCGCCGTTGAGAAATTTGATCCGCTCACATGGTTTGACCTTGCTTCTTCTCCTTTTCGAAGAAATGAACTGCCAGAAATTCAAATTCATCCTCAAAAAGGGCAAACTTTATTGGCTTCACTATTTTGGAAAAATCAAGCACAAACCTGTCAAAATATTGTTGAGTAAAGTGGCGGGGAGACAGAAGAGCATGATGAGCAAATCGGCGGTGGCAAGTGAAGAAATCAACCAATCGGTGGTTGATCGGAGTGATGGATGAATGACCACAGCTAGCACAACAAATACCTGCAATATGGGCGTTGGGCTTGATTACCTCTCAAAGTTGTTGTATCAAGTAGTCAACTGAATGGTTACTCCGTGCATCAAAAGTGAAACGTACATTTCCGAAAAATCCCACGCTGAATACGGCCACATAGAAAACGGTGTAGAGGAAAACCATATCGAGTTCGTGTCGCCAAAGGGGTAATTGAAAGATTTCTTGTGATGTTGTGATTGATGAAGAATCGATAGATGATCCAGTTGTTGAGGATACATCAATCCATAATAGATCACCCATTATGTCCTACAAATTTCGGTTTTCAGTTATTTCATGCAGAACAAAATCATTAAAAAAGTTGTATTAGAAGAATTGAATAGAGTTGAAATGAGGCAATCGGTCTTTCTAGCAGAAAATTTTAGTTGGTTTTTACAAAAAAAGAAACAAGAGCACGAGATAATATACCCAATATTTAGGATTTATGAAAATCAATAACAATATATGAGAACGCTTGGCCAAAGTTATGAGGTGTTGGAGGGAATGGATGGCTCATCAAACTTTTTCCCTATATCGTTTTCTCGATAAATCTGATCATTTGATAACGCCAACTGTTCCACAAAAAGACGAAGCCAAAACAAGACAAAAAAAAGAGTTAGATTGTTGTTTCATTGCATAGATCAAACAAAAGGGAACATTTTTTAGAAAAATCTTTTTGTCAAAAGGCAATTCGTGTAATTTGAAACGCACGACATAAGCGGAGAAAATTCGAGGTTTTTTCATATTAAGATGCACTATCTTGAGACATTTCACTCCTACAAGAATTGAAGCATCAACAAATTTAGATAACTTGAAAACTCGGAGGTCATGGCTTTCATGCGTTTTTCTGTAAGATCAATCAGATCACTTTTTAAAAGTGTCGAAGTGAGATAATAAAGTGAAAACTTTCACGGGTTCACAAGTTTTTGCGCCACACAGGGTGTCTAAGCCGGAATCCAAATAGCGTCACCCATTTGAAAGCCTTTTCTCACTCTCTTTTTTCCTTTTCAAGGTCAAAGAGAACTTTCAAAAGCGTTGTAAGTAAACAAATTTGTATGTTTGCAATAAGAGAAATGCTGGTTGTTTGTAGAAAATTCAAGAGGAACATAGATAGAAAGTTGGATAAGACAGTAGATATTGACATCATTGACATTAGGAAGAATGTAGTTTGGGTTGAAGAGTTCCCTGAGCTTAAATCAGCACATTTGGGAATAGAAGTTCCCTAAAAAACATATTACGCTTCAGATACATAACAACACTTGTAAAAGAGTGTAATTTTTCTGTATCTACAGGATGATCCAAAAGTCCCTGTACAGCTTTTTACTAAAAGTTGATTTTAAAATGACTGAGGAAAGCTTTTTTAAATGAAAACCTTAGTAAAAGTATACTTAAAAGCACTAATAAGGAGCCGATAGCTTACCATAGCTTTTTTATATGGTTGGCCCTTTGAGCCGCGCAGCAAAAATTGAAAAGAAAGTCGATTTTGACAGCGTGCCGTCGACCACTTGTGCGTGGCTTAAAGGGCCAACCATATAAAGAAATCTATGATGAGCTATGGGCTCCTTATTAGTGCTTTTAAGTATAATGTTATTAAGGTTTTCATTTAAAAAAAGTTTAGTTGAATAGCTTGCCTCAGTCATTTTAAAATCAAGCTTTAGTAAAAAGTTGCACGGGAACTTTTGAATCACCCTGTAGTAAATGATCAAACCAAAACGATGGCGGAACTAGAAGTGAGTTTCGAGATCTTCTAGATGAGAAGGGGTCTTCGATGAGTTCACAAGGTCTCAACCCTTCTGAAGAGAAATCCCCCAAGAGAAGAGTGAGTTCTAAAGGCTGAGGGGTACTGGGGCCCCCCTAGGACCTCCAAGGGAACAGGTAATCCACCTCCTCTTTTTTTCGAAGATATAAAAAAGAAAGAGGAAAACGTGTTTTTCCTCGAGATTTCCTTTTCCTTCTTCTACGTGTCCTCTTTTGGATGTGGGAATCTCCCCTTCTGCTTTCTTTTTTGATTCCTCCGAAAATCCACCAACTTTCCCCCATTTTCTCCCCAACAAATTATTCCATTTCGTCAAAAGTTATTTGGTTGATTTTTCTGATGAGAACAGCTTTGATTTTTTTGAAATATGAAAAATGAAGCATTGTGAAAATGTTCATAGGCGGTTAGTTCCCCAATCCATGCTGAATAGGTATTAAACTCATGAAAATCTTGCCGAACCCGAAAGAGATCCTTTACCACTCTGATTATTAACACTACTGTGAGTAAAAGCTCCCTAGAAGAATTACGGTACGGTAGTTTTTATCATAAGCTTTATACTTTGACAAAAATACTTGTTTTCCCCACACTTGAGTGAGGATGTAGATCCTTCGCCCACCCTCAAAATAGGCCCCAAACTTCTCCCCCTTGAATGTGTATTGGGAGATCTGCCCAAGCTAACTTCATTTCACGCACTATTAACTGCCTTTCCCAGCTTTCCCCCAACAAACAAATCAGGCGTTCGTTGAAGAGAAATGGATGACGAGAAAGAGAAAAGAGAAAAACAAATGATGGATGTATCGAACAAAACTGAAAGGAAAAAGTTATTTGATCGATTTCAGTCAGTCTTACAGAATCTAAATTTCATAGGCAAAAGCTTAAACTTTATGGTTTTCGGAAAGGAATAGGATAAAATAGCTTCACTACTGAAAGTGGATAAGTTTATCAAAAGTACTTCTCATTTTAGTATCAAAAGCAAAAACTTAAACCTTTGAAAAATCCAAAGAAAAAGGTGTCTATTTGCTTTTGAGCGCGGAAAACTGTCAGCGTCAAAATAAAAGTCTTTAAATAAAAGTTTTCAAAACAAAAACACTATAATAGAATCTTATAAAAAAACTTGAGACCATCAAAAATCTTTGTTTATGGTATAAAGTCAAAAAATTCGGACCGGAAATGGTTGGGGTCAAGGCAGAAAATAGGTGGTGTTCAGGTATTTTCACTAAAATTGATTAACGTAGCAAAAAAACGGCAAAAAGCGTCGCTCTTCCACCCACAGAATGAATGAATAGATGCACAAAAATTGAGCTGATTTGCGATGACCGTGTAGCTGAATAACAAAATAACAAGAGCTGCTTTTTGTGGGAGAATCGGGCGGGCAAATTTTTTGGGATATATTGGGCGGTCAGAGGAAAGGGGGAGAGGTGGATGAGAAGGACGGAGGAGGGGCCCTATAACGAGGTGCTATAATCTTGGCACAATGATGGGATGATTGAGAATGAGCAAAAGAAAAGTTTTAATGAGAGGAAGGGTTAAAAATCAAAAATCTCCGCTGTTCCCATCCTGAGCCCGAAAACTCGTATCACAGCAGAAGTTCCGCAATTCGGTTAAATCCCAATTCGTAGAAAGTGATTTCCATCCAAATTATGCCCGTGGCTCTTAAATTCTCCCAGAATATATATACTTTATTCAGGTCATGAAATAAAGTACGCAAAGATTAATACACACGAATTCATACACAGGACCGATAGAAAACAACACGATAGAATGTATGTAATAATTGGGTCACAGATAAAGTGAAGAATCAACTAGAACTGCAAGATCAAGATCATCTACAGATAATTTAAAGGCTTCAAGACTATTGGACTCTCTCAAAACTCTAGGGAGTAGTTTCCAAATTCTGGCAGTTCTTATTGGGAAAGAGTTATACACAAGATTATTGAAATTTCTAAAACTAAAGAACCTCTCCTTGAATTAACCCTGAATAAATCTTGAAAAAGAGGGATAGATTTCCCTTTACAATTTTGAAACATTCTATTAAATCCGTGACCAAGTGGCGGTGTCTAAGGAATAAAATACCCCTATACAAACAAAAATGAACCCAAATCGTGCCAAGAACACCTACGTGTGAGTGGGTCTATTTTTTAATTCTCCCTAATATGTAGATGAGTCTCCCCTAGTATCAAGAGACCAAGAAATAGCTCCCTTTTTTGCAAGAACTCAGGAGAAATAAATAAACAAAACGATTAAAGTGAAATGAGAGACCAATCCGGGAAAAATCAATAGAAAGGGCTCAGAGTTAATTATAAAGGGGATTTTGGAGAGTACTTTATTTCGTATTGTAGGAGATTTCTGTAGTAAAAATTGCAGTTTCCCGAAGTAAAACCGAAAAATCTGATCAAAACTAGTGTTGATGAATGAGTTCATCTCAAAATCCCGTAGGGTGAGGACTTTTGGGGAGGAGGGATGGAGTCGAGAATGGGATTGGAAAGATAGCCTCAAAGGGAAGAGCTCCCCTTCTCGAATTGGCCTCATTATTCAGGATATGGCCGCTCTTCCCCCTTTTTTTCTCGCTTGTGAAGCTCACTTTCCGATCGCGTCGACCACCTCATTCGATGCTTCTTTTTTCAAGTTTCCTTCTTGTTCCAACTCTTTTCACAAACATGCAAAGAGCTACAGCATACTATTGAGGGGGGAAATCGAGACAAGGAAGTGAAATAATAGAAGTTCAACAGAAGAGCTGATCCTGTTGATTTCTTAAAGCTAGCCGTCTGGCGAATATTGTAATTCCAACCTGGAGCCCTGAAAGTTCAGAGTTCTTAAGCTATCAAGATAAGGAAGATAAAAGCTTTATTTTGCAATATTTATATACATTTTTGTTTTCTCTTCTCAAGCACTCAATCTTTTAGCCACAATAACCAAAAATCTCGAATGGAGGAAAGATTGAGACTCTTGAGTCGATTGCAAAATCGAAAAACTTCCAATCGAGAACGCTTATCTCTGATTGTTTGAGAAAATAATGAAAGATCAAGGAGAGATTGATCAGAGAAAAGATCATTGAAAGGTTGAGAGTGGGAAGAGTTCTCTAGATTTAGCAATAACGAGAATTTTATTGCACAATAAAGTCTAAAAGCTCCAGAGAAATGTGATTCGTTGTTGGGTGTGCTAACCAACGCATACTATTTGGCACACTTAACTCTGGTTAACCCATTAGCAAGATACAGAACCTTCTAAAGGACCACGATTTGAAGGTAAATGTATTCAAATAAATCGGCAGCTCACGCAAACGGTGAGTGGTCATGATAGTGTCTCCTACCACCATCCCTCTTCCGCTTTACATTGAGTCCTCGTTCTCCCCATTCTTCTTCCGATATTCTCCTTTCCATCTTTTTCTACAACAAGAGATTCTCGAGGGATCCACCCGACACTCCTTTTCCAGAAATTGTTTTAAAGGCAAAAGAAAGAAACTCTCTTTTTCTTCTTTTCTGCTTTGGTGGATCTCTTCATCTAATGAATCGCCCAAGACAAACAATCGACGACGACTTTACATAAAAAGAAAGGAATGGATAAAGGGATTCCGAAGAATGTGGGATCACTCCATCATCTTTCATTTCAATGGCTGGATAGAATCGTGTGCGAATTGTAGTTGGCTCTGCAGGGCTCAGGGAGATGAGATTGATTTTTAGAGTCAAGATTGCGAAACCAGTTCTTGGTATGATAATGTAATGAAGTTTAACTCTATCTCTATATGTGCTTATAGAATCACAGTAAATTACTGACTAATAGTCTGATCTTTTCGAAAACTAAGTCTAGCAATAAGTGCTTTATCCAACTACCGTATCAATTGAAGAGCCGTCTCCAATAGAGGAGTCCCCTCTAGACGAAATTTTTCATTTTTTGTCAGTTGTCAACTCTCGGATAGCAAAATGTTCAGCTTTTTAAAAATTTCCAAAAGCTTTGTAAGGAATAATAATTATAGACTAAAAAAAGCTTAATGACGTCAAAAACCGGATGAAAATCCAACAAAAACCCATTTTTGAGCTTTTGAAAATTTGGGTATACTGTAGCTACGGGCATTAAAAAATAGAATTAGATTAGAATGCTTACGGTAATCTGTTTATATGTATAAACAGAGAGACACTTACTTTTTTATATATAGTAGATACTTTGGTTAACCGTATGTTTTAAAATCAAAAGTTTGGCTTTCGGAAAACTTCAGATTAGCATTTTGATGACTCTCGAGATGTTGACTTATCAATAGAAAAGGGGAAAAGAAAGAAATTGAAGAAATTGGAGGCTCGATTTCACCCCGTTCACATCTTGAGAGTTTTGAGGGAGAAATGTAGGGATCTCCCGGACTCTTAGGGGCTCTCATTGAATGGATGCCAATCGAAAAAATATCAAAGAGAGATTCTCAGTTGACCACATTGGAAAGCCACAAAGATCACCCCATCTGGAACAATCGTTAGTCATACAAAAATTGTTATTTTTGTGAACAAGTGTCTTTTGTTTTATAAAGTACCTATAAACAAAACGTAAATAATAATTTATTATCCAGCTAAAATAAAAATAACTCCACAGCAGTGTGGCACAAAAAAAAGAAAACGTTCAGATTCATATTATTGAGAGTTGGAATGTGAAATTTATTATTTGAAAGCGATGTGGGTGTTTGGATAAAAAGAATAATTTGAAACCCGTTAGGGGAAGAAATTAGAGAAAAATTGTAACAGTACTGCGTGAAAGGATTTAAAGACAAAAGAGAGATGAGGGCCCCGAGTGGAAGGCACACTTGGTCAGCTAGCAAAGATAAAAGGGAAGTCTGATAGCTGACCAAGTCATGTAAAGGAAATGTAAAATAAAAAAGATGAGAATGGAGGAGAATTATTTTGGAAGAGATTTGTTATCTCGACTCAATGAATGACATCCCCAAACAACGATGAGAGCTGAGAGAAGAAGACAAACGATCGAAGCTGAAACAACAGCACACACGAAGCCCGTCTCGGAGACACACACTGTGTCCGATGACCAGCCATCTCTGAAAAGTTCCATTTGTTAGGATAGGTAATATTTGTTTGAAACACCATTGTAGGGGACAGATCCTATCCTTGAAAGGAACTTGTTATGTTAAAAAAATTAAACTTGAGCCCCCTACTTTCCTAATTGATCTTTGTGAACTGTCATCTTAAAACTTCCTCATTTCCCTGTGTTTTAGTTTCTAAATGGGACGTCATGAAAGACTTTCCTTTCTTTTTTGCATTTCAAAAGAGAGAAATAAAATTGGATGAAATGAAAGAAAAGCACTTCACACTTCTCTTTTTGCTCGGTAACGACAAATTTTATTATTCAACTGTGGATTTGTTTCTAGCAGAGAATTGATGAAAAGCTATAAATACCGACCTGTGGGGGTGGGTGGAATTTCCTGTAATTCCTTCGTCCATTTCCTCTTCTTCACCCTTGGCAAGAACGCGGATGATAGCTGAAAATGAGGATTGTTATGTCCATGCATATCAAAAGCACTTCATCCTTTTGACTAGTTTACTATTGATTAAGCACAGTGCCACATACTTTTACGTATTTCTAATCTAATTACCCGATAGAGTTTCAGCAGTGTGCTCTTCGGAGCTTTCCGCCAAGGCGCTCCTCTTCTTGCGTCCATGAGAAGTGAACAGCTCGTTGGTGCCCGAATCCAAGCAGTTTGACTAAATTGTGCACTTTTGCAATATTCTTTCATAAACTAACCACAGGACATCCATTAGGCCCAGCGCAGAACATGACCGTACACATCACTTGCACATCATATGATCCATCCAAGCGGAAAGCGCGCACCTCGGACTAAAAAGCCATATTAAATTTTGAAGTTAGAGCTAGAATTTTATTGGAAAACATATTGCACGTTTGTTTTGTTGTTTTATTAAACTTTCTGGACAGTCTAATATGTAGAATGTTTATCTTATTTAACAATTCGCTTACCTTCAATCGATTCTTATCGAAATCCTGTTCAATTGGGCCGACAAGTGCTGGATACCGGGGACATCTGAAGCTTTATTTCAGGAATTCAACAAGTGATTTCAGCAGGCTTTACTGTATAGTTCTTGTAGTTTTCAGTTTATATTCTACAATGCTAACGTTCCAAAGTTGAAGATGAGATTAGCAAGCCAAATGATCTCACCCATTCTCGATGAGAGTGAATGGGACCGAGTCTCCACGACCTCCGATTCTTGTGGCTGTGCATTCGGTTACCTAAAATCTTTTATTGCATGTACACTTTTTTGTTTTTACCATCATGTTGTGTGGTCCGGCTTGTTCCGAAGAGATCACCATCAACAATGGATCTCCGATTGAAGCCTGGAAATAGAAAATTGAATTATGGAGTTGAGAACTCAGAAGATAATAACAGTAGTGAGTCAGTGATGATGTCAATGCATAAATTTGACTTATATGCTCATAAAATAGCTTTTATAAATTTCAAACCTTCTCCAACTTCTCGTCGAATTGATTGAAGAAAGTGAGGGTGGCGGTGACTGGTGGTGGAGTGGCTGTCTCGAGAACTTGAGTCTTTTGGTTGCTAAAATTTGAAGTTATTTAAATTGAACTAAATCTTAAGCTAAAAATCCATCACTTACTTAGCCTCATAGATTGTTGTGACAACAACGGATCCCTCTTTGGTCATTTTGTCCATCGAGACATCACATGAGACACGGTAGAAACGATCCCATTCAGTGGTCACCTAAAAAGAAGAAGGGTTAATGAGAGGCTAGTTATTAGCTGCACTATCTATTAGCTGCACTTCTTAGCTGCACTATCTAGGCTATTTAGCAGTTGTTTAATAGAAATATGTACCTGATGTGGCAAAACTCCATCAAGAGAAACAACAACGAGAGCTTCCATCTTTCCATCACGGATAACTGTTCCACAATCCGAAGAGACGGTTGGTGGTGGGAAAGTGATCGAGATTTGTTTCGCATTCTCGACAACCTGCAAAAGTTTGTTGATTTAAACCTATAATCCAAATTAGATCTTAGCAAATTTCTTTTGATTCATTGATAGGATTGTAAACTCACCTGGCTGCAAGTGGAGAATCTCTCGGCGGCATAAATGGCTCCAGTGTATGGTTCTTTGGTGTTAACGATGAAACGAATTCCATCATTTGTGCAAAGGGCCATTCCGCCGAATTGACTTTCACAGTTGAACTCGTAGTAATCCATTGCTGGATTTGCCTTGATATTGGCATCAGCTCGACCGACCGCGTAAATGAAACAAGAAGAAGCGGTGCTGAATGAGGAATCATTGGAAAAAGATTGATTGGGGATCACTCACCGATCATAATTGATCGATTTACAGTTGAGATTCTGGAAGCAAAGCGAGATACAATCGGAGACGGTCACTCCCTAAAATAGAGTTGGTTGCAATTTTTGATTGAATAACTTTAAAAAAACATAGAAGCCATTTTTTCTTTTAAGTACCTGTGCAGAGGCGACAACTTCTCCTTCAATTGAAGAGCCGATGAAACGTTCGAAAGCCGCCTGTTGACGGCAAGTGGATGAGGAAAGGTCAGCTGGAAATTCGATAGTAACCTCGATTTTTAGATTTGGATATGTATAAGCATAACAACTTCATTTCTCAATTCGCAGGTTTTTTCATTCAATATTTTATCCATTCTTAATGTTAAACTGATCTGTTAAGTTCCGGTTTTAAAAGAGAACCTTCATTTAGTTTAATTTTAAGTCTTTTATCTTCATTTTGTTCCCAGATCCAGCTATTTTCTCATTTTCACCAGATGATAGTGGATTGTACTGGGGAGCACGAGAAGTGACTGGATGGATATCATTTGAAAGAAGAGAAAGGGATGGAATGGGATGAGGGTGAAGGGGAATGCCTTGACCCGATTTTCCCATTTCCCTTCCCACAAGGTATGTCCACCGTTGCTCAAAAAGCAAACCAGAATCCCATCTATTGTCAAAAAGATGTGCAAAAGAAAAGAAAAGAAGAAAAACTCGGTCCCCCCACACAAATTCTTTTCCTTCACCAAAGCGGTTTTCACTTTCTCGACGACTTTTACCTGACACGAGTTTTCAAATCATCCCTTTAAGAGAAGTTTTCAGGAAATTTTGTAAAATGATCAGGGGAAAGCTAGATGGAGATTTTATTGGTATCTTATTCGAAATGTTGTTGATCTTTTGTGAAACCCACCAGCAACACAGATTGGTTCATAGTAATCCTTGGCTTGAACTTGTCCTTGTTGATCGGCTCTAGAGAAAGTGTCTTCATCAGAGACAATACAATTCTTCTCGTTTGGAGAAAATTCGACGGATCTAAAAATACAATTTTTAAGCAAACAAAAAAGATTATTGATCTTGCGTCTCTCAATTTTTATTTTTAAGTTTATTATACTTGGAACCAAACACTCGAAAAAACATGGATACATTTATGAGAGCAGTTTGTGGTAAACTGCTGTTTTGCTTTTCGAATTTTGTGTTTTCTTTAGAATTTATCGAAAATCTATAATATACCGGCAGAATGTGTTGAGAGAGTCCAAACATTTCTGCAAGCAATAGCTCTCTTGGGCCTCCACCGATTGGGTGTGATCGTAGAAATGAATCTCGAAGTTGGTGGTTTTGACGAAAACGAGATTTCCGCCTTGCTGACCACATCTATATAAAGAAGAAATTTGATCTTAAACCACCAAGATAAGGCAAAGTCAGACAACGAGATAGAAAGCTCCACCAATAAAAATGTTTTACCTGTTTTGTCTTGAGAGACAGTTGTTATCATAGTAGTCAATAGTGCTTTCGGTCATTGTCAAAGCAGTTGGCTTGCTTCGTCGATCCTCAGCATTCAATTCACACATATACGTGTCATAGTTGTAGTTGACCGATCGACAAACAAATTCCTTTTCTTTAAGACAAGTCGAGAGACACTGTTCGCGAGATCCGACCTGAAAAGTGATAGAATTTGTAGAATATAAATAAGGTTTCTTATTTTTTTTAGCTTTCTATTTTCAATTTTCACTTACTTGAATCGACTTTTTAACGAAGCCTTCAAGAATTGTTTTTCGCATTCGCTCAAACGAGAACGATCGATAGGTGCAAGCCTCGTGAGCGGTCACTGCTGGCAGACAAGTTTTCTGAAGCATTCTTATTACAAGACCAGAGGGCTAGCTATATTTTGAGACTTTTTAAAAAATTTCAGTTTTTTGGCCCAAAGACGGGTGAGAGAAAGCCTGTACAGACGAACAGACAGACGCTGCTTTTTTATATAGTAGATTATCTATGCCATTTCAACAGTTTCATCAATTTCTACCTCATAGTAGAAGTTGTTGGCCGATGGATTGGCGGTGAGTTGTCCTGTTCCGGCCGGTGCAGCGGCGTCATCAAAGAAGTAACAGGTTTCTCTGAACTATATTTTTCAAGAAAATCTTGGCTAGGAAAAGCTTAAGCTAAATAGTACCAGCTAATTTGTAAATATTTTATTTTCAACATTGGTATTGCCGCTTGTAATATTGCTTACCTTCCATCAAAATTGAACGAAGCGCAAACGCGTTGAGCTCCAGTGGTCGGCTCGATATTGTTTCGACAATACTGGGCACATGTGAGATCGTGTCCTAGATTGAGAAAGATTAAAAAGACAAAAAAAAGTTAACTGAATATTCAAGTTAGTTCTTTTACTGCTTACTGTTAAAGTTTTCTATTTTGAATTGATAAGCAAGAGACAAAAAAAAATCGGAAGTGTCTTTTCCAGGCATTTTCCCCTTTCCCCATTGCCTTTTACTCCTTTTCATAAAGTGGGTCATCTCGCTTTTCGAATGTCCGAATCCAATTTGGGAGAAAGTTCACCGCACATAAAGAAATCGAGAAAAAAATCCTATCAACTAATTTTCAAAAGTAATTATCAAAAATTTTGAAAAGGAACAGTGGAAACCGGTCTTCTGAAGAAACAATTCAAAACCTGACAGTGAATCATCTTCAGATTTTGGTAGGCATGTCGAAAATATCAGCATCATAAGCCGGTTTTTATGAGTCATTTAAATCCGGATTTTTAAGATCGTTATCAAAAATGTTGACTATTAAATCCAGTTAGGCAAATGAGTCAGAGTGGAAACGATTGAACAACCGGAGTTGAATTGAACCAAGCTTTAAACAAGCTCGAAAGGAAAGTGAAATGAGAAATAAGTATGCCGAAGTTATTGTTTTTAATTTGAAAGCTATAGTTATTTTTCTACAAAACTTACCGGCAGTAGAAATGACTAATGGAGTTCCATCAAGTCGAGCTCGAGATGTTCGAATAAATGCGGTTGTCTCCTGAAAATTCGCTTACTAGTACAGTACAACGATTCTATATAGCTACATTATATTGCATTAGTTTTTGTTCTTTTCAAAATATTTCAATTAAGCATTGTCTCAAACATTAAATTCTCAAATAAACCTGTGATCCGCACTCGAAAACGGCGGCTATCAATGGGACAAATCCCAGTAACAAGAGCCCTTTTAGCATGGCCCTGAAAGAGCAAAAAGTTTCATCAAGAAAAAGAAGTTAAAATTTTCAAAAAATAATGCATAATATGAAACCAGAAGTGATGCTTACAACAAGGTGGCTCCCGAAAAAAAGCTGTACTCTTAAGGGGCTTAGAAGTGGGATGTGGCTACTCAAAAGAGATAGGGCAAGAGATACGGTAGAGTGGATGTGGGGATGAATGGCTAGCTGAAAGAAGGCTCGAGGCTGACCCTTTGCCCTCTAGGGGACGAAAGGAGAAGAAGATGGTTTGACTGAGATCCAGGAGGAGGGAGAGAAGCTCCACCCTCCCCCCTCCCGCCTTCACCTTTGGGTGTCTCCGTGTCCGTCCTTGGCCCGGTGACCTCCGTCTCGTTATCCCTTATCTCCGATCCATTCTTTCCCTTTTCTCTTTCTTTTCATTCAGTCACTTCACCTAGTCGTCCTCATGATTTTTGCTATGACAATCGCATTCCCCGACCCTTGTCACGTCTAGAAATGAACCAATGTAGCGATATTTGTTGAGAATCGAAAATTTATTGCAAAAATCAGAGAATTCTTTGCTAGAGGGTGTCTCGTCGGACTCGATAACCAGAAGGCTCGACTCGATTCTCGATTGGGGCAGTCTGAAATTGTTTGGATTTTTTGTTTGCCCATTGAGAAACCTTATTTCAAAAGTTTTTGCAGGGTCTAAGTTCAGAAAATATTTCAAGAGGTCGGATATTTTTTACCTGATACGCAGAACCTGTCTCATACTCTGGTGCCGGGCAATCGTGGCCTCCTCCTGATGGTTGTGGGGAGACTGGACTCAACTCGTCTCCATAGCTGTTTTGCGCTTCGCTTCTGACTAAAGACTGTGCTACATCAAAGTCTAATTAAAATTCATCTTGCCAAAGCTGTTTTACTCAAACTAGTCCCATGTCTAGTTCTGGTTTATGTGAGCTATGCTAATAAGGTAGGATTTAAGAACCTTATGCAATCTTTGGCAATAGCTATGTTTAAATCAAGCATTCTTATTGCATAGATAATTTGTATTCATGGAAACAAAATATGTTTACTTGCTTTAATTCGTAATTGAAATATATTGTTATTACGATAATTTAAACTCGACTTCCGAAAACTCACATGATCCGGCCAAACTAATGCCGACGAAAAAGACGAAAGCCACAACGATTCGCATGTCTTTCCCCGAACTGAACAATATTTCATTTTCTTTTCGTTTTCCTTTCTTTATATACTCGGACGTTTTTGTTCTGTTCTGCTAACAATTTGCGGATTACTGATAAACCGGAATTTTATCGGTTTTAATACAGCCATCCAAGTTTGGAACGATAGGCAGAAAAGGGAGAGCGAGAAAGAGAGAAATCGACAAAAATTCGTTCGTTGTGAAAGAAGAAAGTTCGAAAGGGTAATAAATATCGACAACTTTGTAGAAACTTATTAAAAACGGGGTTTTTTGATCAGTAATACAGTATGAATGATTCTTTAAATTGAAATTACGATAATACAATAGCTACTAGCTACCACCTGTGTCCTAAGAGGTTCTCTGGCCCCTAGTAGTGAGCCATGAGACCCATCGCCCATGTCTGACATCTCATTTCATTTTCAATTCCCGATTGCAAAAGGAAGGGACCTAATCGAAGCGAACTCGTCAAATTGTAAGATTCTATAACGTACCCTGACTACCGTACCCTCGTCCTTTGTTTGATTGTTTTTCTATTCATTTCGCAATGACAATGTCCATTTTGTAATACATGTAATTTTGGATGCTACACTTGTTCCGCAATTGTGCACCCCTCTTACCGTATCCCTCACTAATTTTTGGCTATCCAACGGAACACTGGAGTGATTGTACACTAACACCAAGAAACTTGGAAAAAAACCTCTAAGGCTTATGAATTATTGGCCTTGTTAATATTTTAACCGCATTGAATCATCTTGTTTATTAGTTGAAGCACAGCTTTTTTATTTAAATATAAACACCAAACAATTGATAGTTGATAGGAAGATTTTTCAAGTTCATTTTTACGGATTTTGTCTTTTTTAATTTCTTGTTAACATTTCAATCTTTCAGATCAGGGTCATGTTGAGCCGGATCAGCGTTCGTGGTGCCTCGTCGGCTGCCGCTTCAGCCACCGCTTCGGCTCCAACAAAGCAAACACACACCACACCTTCTGGCTTGATTGTGTCGAGCGATGAAAGAAACGGTGCCGTCTCTCACTTGGCAAGTTTTTTTCTTTTTAAATATAAATTAAGTTTGTGGTGAATGTAACTTGATGATACTTAAAATATGCACCCACATCTTGTTTTATAATGTTCCTGTTTATAGGTCCTTGCTTTCCGTGCCGGAACTCGATACGAACTTCCATCACAAAAGGGTCTTGTGCATCATATTCGCAACTTTGTTGGACGCGATACGAACAACTACTTGGGAGTGCCACTACTTTGGAGTACTGCTGGCACCGGAGCCACAATTGTATATTGTTTTGATTGCTAATTGGAGAGTCGAAAAGCAGCTAATTTCTCTTTACTAAAAATTTTATCAATATCTTTGAGCATGGTTATTTATTTTCTCAAAAGTCGTTTTAGCGAGCCTTTGCGACCCGAGACCTCTATGGTGTGACCCTATCTGTTCCACGCGCGGAAGTGAACGTTGCGCTCTCGGTTTTGGGACATGTTGCTGCTCAACCATCTTTCAAGCCATGGGAACTTGTTGAGGTGACCCTTCCTTTTTACTTATTTTCTTATTTTCATACTTTAGAACCAAGAAACGCTGATTGCGGATCTTGCTAGCCGTTCGGCCTTCGACTTCCTCAACGACGACGTCCACAGGGCCGCTTTTAGGTAAAAGACTTGATGGATTAGACGAAAAATGTCCCTTAACTAATGTCTCTAGCTTAAAATGATTCTTATTTTATTTAGCGCACCAAAGACTTGTAAAAATAAAAATATTATATTAATTTATTAATCTTTTCAGTAACTAGAATACCTATGTTTGAAAAATGACTAATTTTAGAAATGGAGGTCTTTCCAATGGACTTTTTGCGCCTAAGAAGCTTGTTGGCACCTACTCGCAAGCAGAATTGCAAGGCTTTGCTGTTTGTTTTTAACTGTGTATGAGCGTTTGTGGACCATTTTATTTTAGGCTTCACGACTTGTGTCTGGAGAAGCGGCATTGTTTGGCATCAATGTAGCGCATGATGTCCTTGCAAACTATGGTGAGAATCACGCACCTCTAAATTCGGGCAAAGGCCAGCCGACAAAGGTTTGTTGTTTTTGAGAACGCCAAACTATTTTTGTTTAGGCTTCTCCTTTTGTCGGTGGAGAATCACGCCGGTGGTCATCGGGAAAATTGGCTCACGTTTTGCTTGGTCAGTGTGCCTAAGTGTTATGGGTTTTTTTGGTTCTGCAATAATCAAGTAATTGTAATAGTAAAACATCATTCTTACACGGAAGAAAAATGCAAGACATCGTTATGTTTGGTTTTTAGTTGGTGAAGGAGCAACAATCTCTGACGTTAAGGGCCTCGCTGCTCAAAATGTTCTTTTGGCCACGTTGGCGCACAACACACTTAAATATGGAGGAAAATCAGGAAATGGTTTGTTTTTGGAAAATTCTTTAAATTTTCTTTTTAGGAATTCTGGCCAAGGCTGTTGCTAATGAAGGAGCAGGAATCAGTGCCTACCAGGTATTATTTGGCTTGGAACAAAAAAATCTTATCTAGGCTGCATATGCCGACTCTGGTATTGCTGGAGTTTATTTGACTGTCGATGGAGCAGCTGCCGGTTCGGCCGTCCGATCGATTGCCAAAGCTTTGAAGAACTTTACTGCTGGCGATATTGAGGGAGCCAAAGCACTTGCTACATCGAGAGTCGCCTTTGGAGTTGTAAGTTTCAAGATTTATGAAATCTAGGGTTTTTATTGACTGAAAATTTTATCGTGTATGACTAAATTTAATTTTGTTTAATATCGAACGTTCAGTTTAAAAGAATAACTGATTTGCTTTAGGAGAATGGAGCTGATTTTGTGATTGACAAAGCGGCGTATTTGCTTGGAGCCAAAGGCGAATGTATCATGATCGCAATTAGTCAAGTTGGTTTATATTTATGCAATTTTGAAACATTTAAGCATATTCGCTTTATAGACCACGAAAGCCGATATTGAAGCTGCTGCGAAAAAACTGTCGAAGAAATTTGCTCTTGCTTCATATGGTGATATTGATCATGTTCCTTATGTAGATGAATTGTGAATTGACTTGTAAGCGTTATTTTTCCGATTGTCCTCCAAATAATTTCGTAGACTTTTTACACTTACTCAGCAAATGTAATTGCGTTAGGCATTTCTTTTTCGCTTGTTCAGTCTAGTTTCTTTCTCTGCGTTTTGAATACGAGAAGTTGAATAGATAGTTCTTATGTAAAAGATTGTTTTTGATAAACTTTATTAAATCGTCATTTGTATCTCAAAAAGAGCTCTCAACTTTGTATCAAACGGCCGAAGAATGTTTGGATAGAAACTTGTAGGCTTTTCAAAATGCTTTATGGAAGCGAAAATATATCCCCAAAAAGAAAAAAAAGGGAAACGAGCGGCGTTGATGAGAGTTGAAAAATCTCCGTTGACTGGTATGCAAGCAAGCAAGACAGTCAAGAAAAGAGACGGCGAGGGGCATGGTTGATGAAGCGTTTCTGCGCGTTCCACCGCTTCATCCCGGTCCACAACACTGGCCTCTCCCTCCCCCCGTTTTCTTCCTCTTTCAAAATTTCTCTCATGAATACCCCACACTCTTTTCTCTTTTTTCCCTTTTTGACATCATGTAACAAAATTATCTCTCTCAAATAGTTAGAGATCGCTCGCTTCCCCTTTCTGCTGTATTCGGGTGCTTGCTTTTGCCACTCGAATTTTTTTTGCGTTAGGGCAAGTTTTCTTCACAGGCGTGGCTAAAAGCTGCTCACCTTTTGACAGACAAAATTTCCAATATCAGCATACATAATGAGTTCTCGATTGTTATTGGGTGAAACTGGTGAAGGGAGAACTATCTCTAGTGGAGATGAAAATGGGCGATCAAGTGAATCAATGCGAGATTGGTCTAGATTGGGAAAAACCAAAAGGTTCAAACTTTAAAGACAATGTAACGCATCGGATCAAATTGACCCTATTCCTCTTGACTTTTCCAAAAAGCGTCCTCTAGCAGATCTACCGTACTCCAGTTGCACAGTCAAGCGAAACACAGTCTAGTTTACAACTAACATCCCAGCATGACAAATTCTAACTCATTCGAAAAACTAACGACGGTTTTTTCAGCCCCATATCTGATATTTTTGAAAATTCTCAAACTCTAATCGGATCCCTGCCCTGAGTTTTGAGGTTAGAAAGCATAAAATATACTGTTGGCTGGATAGAAAAGACAGAAAAGATGCACACGATCTGTTCTCATTCTTGTTCACTTCTTGATGGGGCCACTTGAAATTGAGTGTCACTCCCGTCTTCCCAAAGGGGCTTCTCCTCCTCTCCTCTCCTCTCCTCTCCTCTCCTCGTTTAGACAACCCGCTTTCCCTTATTTCTTTCTTTTTTTTACAGAAGACAAGCGTGCCAGAAGAAAAAAAATTCTTTTCGAATAGCTCCTTGTTGCTTTAGGTAAGATGAAAGAAAGGAGAGAAAATGAGTGAGTGAGAGAATAGAAAATAGACATGCAGGAACAGGTCAATGATCGCTCTTCTTCGCTTTAGCTTCCTTCTTTAGCTCTTTTCACTTCTGTGACTCATTTGTGCGAAGTGAGACACAATCATCGATTCGCTTCGAGGGTGTTAATTTGGTGACGTTTAGGAGGTTGATCGGTTAACCACACACGTGTGATCAATGGGTTAGCTGCTTGCTGAGATAAAGCTCACTCTTATATTGAAAAACATAGGGAACCTCAAGGTATTTTAGATGCCATTAACAGGCCCGATCCTAGGGAACTACACAAATAGTGATTTTGAGTAAGCTGCGAACAGATTTGCGGCACTGTACGCGAAAAATTAACCGTTGATAAGTGAACAAAAGTTGAAACTTACAAAAACAAGGAAGTAATATAGCTGCAGAAGTCTCAAAAATCAAAACGCCCGGGCTCGTTTCCCCATCTCTATGCCAGTATCAATTTTTCTCTCCAGCTACCATAACCTAGTCTAGTATCGTCTTATCAAATTGATAGAGAGTGGTCCAGAGTGGGTCCTGTTTCAAACAAAAAAAACAAGAGAAAAGGGGTGGGGCTAAGTGAAGAGAGAATGCAAAAGAGCAAATGAGAAAGATTTGAGGACGAGCGAGAGCACGAGAGAAGTCGCGCACACCGCACGCGCGTTTTTACGCGTCGTTCCGCGCTCGCGACCGCCACCCGCCGTATATAGGGGAATGGTGGGCGGAGGGAAGGGAAGGCAGCCACTCAACAGGCCCACTCATACACACAGCCATGACCGACTGCCATGAGGCGCAGCGCGAACGCGCTTACAAGGTATCTTTTTGTTTTGCTCATTCTTTATCACTTACTGATCATTATCATTTACTGATTTGAGCACTCTCGAGTTTTTTTCTTTGTTTTATCTCGAAAATGACTCGAGAGTGGATTTTTCATACATCTAGAAAATCCTTTAACGAGTTTGTTTCTGCAAGATTTGTTTTAAGATTTTCTGGTATTCACCTAGACTTTTTGAAACTCAAATCTTTTTCTAAGGGCTGAGAAATGTGCCAAAATGAGTTGGACTACTAAAAGTGATACTGATAATGTAAACATTTGAAAAACATTTGAATAAACATTTGAAAAACTCAAGCATTACAGGCAGTAGCTTTCGCGGCCGTGTCGTTCTCACTCTTGGCCGTTCTCTCTGTGTGCGTTTCTCTGCCGGTCGTCTACAACTTCGTTGACCACATCCAGCAGCAAACTCAACGAGATCTCGCTTTCTGCAAGGTTCGTTTAAAGGATACAAAAAGTGACGTAATTTCTCTGATTTTTGCTTGCATTAATATTTCCTTCTTCAACTCTCCATTTCAACATTTCAGTCATTTCTATTCTACAGATACAACTTGCTCTCGAATACTCGCAATTCCTTTCCTTACTCACTCATAAAAATAAGACTTTCACAAGCAACTTAATCCCTAGATAGACTAAATCAAAATAACTTTTACCCTTCTACTTTGAACATTTATAACTTTCAAATCCACGAAGCTCCAACACTCATAACCCACCACCAAAACCACGAAAATCGTCACAGAGCTAACATCTATGGAACGATCTATAACACTGCTAGATCCATCTAATTTCATCCAGCCAATCACATTCCATCGTTTTCTTTGTTCATCCTAGCTCCAATCTTGCCAATTCATCCACTAACTTTTTGTCCTAATCTCAATCGATTCCCCACACTTTCACTAATCCCAGATCGATGATGGGGTGAAACGTTTGATGAACAGGAAGAAGAGTTCTTCTTTTGCTTCTTCAATCCACCACACAACCCCTTCTTTCTCCTTCATCTTCTTCATCATTGTAGAGCTAACCGGTTGGGTGTCTATGTGTGCCGGTGGGGGTGGCAGAAGAAAGAAGAAGGGAAGGAGGAGAAGGATGAGGAGGGGAGAGGGGTGCTCAGCTTGGGGTGACTGTCTCCCTTCCGATAGAAAAAAAGGAGAATTCTCCTTCTATGGCATCTTTTTCTTTCTTTTCACCCGGGGCAAATTGCCAGCAGTTGTTGAGGTTGTGGGAGAATACCGAGAAAGTGAGTCTCCCGAATAGATGGGTGGGAAAGGAAAACCCAGAGTCTTTTCTCCTAAAATAGTGAATTCTCGAGAAACTGAACTAGGGCTTTTTCTGACTTTCTCTATAGATCTTTTTGACAGTAAAAGTAATTTGAGGGGTGCTTTTTTCTCTTTACTTTAGGAGAATTAGACTCACAAATGCCATAGAATCCAAGGGTAGTTAAACCACGAGCAGTAAATTGGTAAATCAAAAGTAAGAGAAAGTAAGTAATCATAAGAGCAACCGTCATAATTTTGATTTTAAGCCCGTCATACCCTTGTAATCCACATTTTGAGATTCTTGAGCTAAAACGATTCCTGTAAATATTAACAAATTAACAAATTAACAAATTCGAAAGAGTGCCCGCTAAAGATCGCCCATAAATTCATCACTCTCGTCAGTGTAAAAAGACTATCTTTTTCCCGGAACAAATCGGTTAGATGGGTGTAATGAATGGTTGACTGTAAGCAAGATAGAAATAGAAAGAGGAAGAGAATAGTTTGTTGTCAATCCCATTCCCCAACAAACCCCCAATCCGGCTGATCACTTTTTGTGCTAGGCTTGGCGTCTCCCGTTCCACCACCTTCGGTCTCCATTTTGCTCGCTTGCTGAAAGCTCTTGAAAATTTGGTCATTGCACGAGAAATTAGCCAACAAAAGCGGAACGCCTTTTTTTTGGGATTTCGAGAGAGAAATGGCTAACCCCAGTCACCCTTTTTGTTTTCCAAAAATATTTTTGGGGCTTCTCCGCTTGTGAGACGGACGGGTAAGTGGACAAACAGGTGGAACGGTGGAGCCTTTCTTCCTCTCTCAATACATGCAGCTCCTTCTCTCATCCCATCTCTCCATTTTTTTGGTTGATTCCCCTACCCACACCCTTTTCACTCCTTTTCTCTATGTATCTCTTTTATAAGGAGAATGCTTTGTGCTTATAGAGGGGGTCCGTTTTTTTTCCGAATAACGCTCGCCCCCTATAACCGCCGGCACTTTTGTGGAGATCACAAGTGGCTTTTTTTCTTGCACATCAAAAACCGCAGACACTGCTGGATAATAAAATGACAAAATGAAAACAGAAAACATTTGAGATTGGAGAAAGAGTATTTGAATTTAGACGACTGCTAAGGACATCATGGGAGAGGTGTCAACCCGACGACCTGCCGCTCCATTTGCCTCAATTGCCGCTAATGCCACCGCCCAGAGGGCAAAGAGGGATGCTGGAGGATGCGCTGGATGCTGCAAGCCTGGACACCCTGGACGACCCGGAGCTCCTGGATCCAACGGAAAGCCCGGAGTACCTGGAGCCCCAGGAAAGCCCGGAGTTCCTGGTGAGTTTAGCTAGAGCTCTTTACATTTCAAACTCGAAACTTCAGGAAGACCACCAGTTGTTTGTGAGGAGGTTGTTGTGCCACCGTGCAACCCATGCCCACCTGGACCCCCTGGACCACCCGGACCCAACGGACCACCCGGAAACCCCGGACGCCCTGGAAGCCCCGGACGCCCAGGTTTGTGGAAAATGGATAAAGTTGTAAGAAAAGTAATTTCCAGGAAACAACGGAGCCCCAGGAGCCCCAGGACCCAACGGAGGACCCGGAAACTCTGGAAACCCAGGAAGCGATGGAGAGAGCGGAGAGCCTGGAAGACCCGCCCCAAGCACCCCATCGTACCCTGGAGAGCCCGGAACACCCGGAGAGCCAGGTTTGTGCGAAAAGGAGAACAATGGTGCAGTAATGCAATTCAGGAGCCCCTGGACTCCCTGGAGCCGACGGACACCCCGGCCGCGACGGAGCTCCCGGCAACAGCGGACCAGCTGGATCACCCGGTGGCCCAGGTTTGTGTGAAAGGAATAAAAATGTAAAGAAATTGAATTTTAGGACCCCAAGGACCACAGGGAGGACCTGGAAACTCTGGAAGCCCCGGACAGCCCGGACCACAAGGAGAGCGTGGAGTGTGTCCCAAATACTGCGCCCTCGACGGAGGAGTCTTCTTCGAGGACGGAACCCGGCGATAAGCTTCACGGAGAGGCCACGATTTGCGAGTGCGGGTGCACCATCTCACTTTGCTCTAATAAATATATTTCTTTGCAAAAAAAGTGAAAGCATTTTGAAAGCACATTTCAACGATACAGTAGCCACCGAAGGGCAAAGTACACAGCATTTTTAGAACATTTTAGACAAATGGGACTTCGAAACAGTAAACAAGGAAAATTGACAAGGAAAATTGAAAAAAAAATGTAAAATTTCAGAAGTCGCTCATTTTGGAAAAAAATAAAAGGGGTAACGAAGAAATTGAGAGGATGACCTGAACCGGGAGAAATCAAAGAAAATTAGACCTGTTTTCTCTTTTTTTTTCTCTTCTCCCATTCCATCATTTCATCAAAATCTTCATGATACGCCTCTAATTGATTTTTCCCCAATGCTACGTTGACTTTTGGTTGACCGAGCAAAACAGTTAGATCTCACCCAATATTTCTGACCCATTTAACACGCAAAAAATGTCAGCTAGAGTGCGTTTCTCGGGAGAGCCACCAAATCAGGTAAGCGCTTAGTTCCACTTTGTTTACCATAAGATAAGACCGTGTGATCGATACAAAACAAACATTTAAATTGATAAAATTTGTTTTTAACTGAAATATACAGGGAATATTTAACCAAAAAATCAACTAAAAAGGGTTCAATTCAAACAAAGATCAGCTGTAATATCAAATTGAGGCTAGACGAGGAGAGTAGGCTAATTTGGAAAAAAAATGATCAATGTTTCATTGATGCTCTACTTTTTACATATCAATGTATCAGATGAGAGCCGCTCCAGCTATGGCCGAATCATCGGGAGGACAATCGCTCGCATCGGCTCTTTTCTCTCGTCCAATGCCAAAAACGTATCCAGAAGTTGCCTATTCGATGGATATCTTCACTGCTGCGAGTATTGGTGATAATGATGTTATCAAGGTATTTTAAACCGTTCTTAGTAAATTTGCGACTGTGGTTGCAATTAGAGCGGCTGTGTAATACACTTTAGAGTCAAATCCTGCGCGGTATCGACATCAACGCTCGAAATGTGAGCGGTTGGACGGCCCTTCACTATGCCGCGTATTTAGGCCATGAGGCAACGGTTTCTCTCTTTTTGGACAATTCAGCTCAGGTAAAGAGTGGAAAAAAGAGTTCAAGAATTCAAATAACTTCAAAAAATCTTTTAGATTGACACCTGTAATGCTCGTGGTCAAACGGCGTTGATGCTAGCGTCCGCATGCGGGAACTTGTCAACCGTGAACTTGTTGTTGAAGGTTCGCAAGTGACAAACTGGGGAAATCTAGAAATTTTAGAGAGGAGCTAGTGTCGATCGCGTTGACATTAGCAATCGACAGGCCCTTCACTATGCAGGAGCTTGTAGCCAGAATACCGTAAGTCACAATTTGCATTTAAATTAACATTAATAGAATGGCACTAGAAATATGTAAAGTAGAACAAAATTGATTAAGCTTCTTTTATCTTCAGGTGACAGATGCTCTGTTAGCCATGGGGGCCGATCCGAATTCCAGTATGTTTTAGCTGTTTTATCCCGTCAAAGAAGATTGACAACAACAATTATAAGACGAACCTAGGAGACCAAGACGGAATGACTCCGACACTCGAGGCCTGTTCAGCTGCGCACGAGCTAACTCTTCTTGCTCTACTTGGAAAAGTCCGCTGAATAAGCAAATTTATGTAAATCAAATTTAGGGAGGAGATGTGATGGCGAAAAATAGCAAAGGCGATGATGGAGCGGCTCTGGCATCAGAGTGCCCTTCAATAGTTCAAATTATACGACAACATCAAGTGAATTTCTTGACAAGCCTAGAAAGACATTCTTTAGAAAAGTTCACGGCAACCAACATCTCTAAATGAGTTGCTTGCTGCACTACAATTGGAAAGACTGCTGCCGAAATTGCACGAACAGAACATTGATCTTCGACTGTTTTTCGAATTAAATGAAAAGGCAAGGCTCGTGAAAATGATTTTAATAAAGTTACAGGACTTTGACGATATGGGCATAGCCTATGGGCCAAAGAAGAAAATGCTCAAAGTCATACAAAAATACAAAGAGGTCGGAGCAATCGTTGTCGAACAGTTTGATGTTAGAGGAACTGCATCTGCCATGGTAATGTTAATATGTCTAGTATGTAGTTAATTCTAACTTTCTTTTAAAATTTAGCCAACTGACGAGATCCAGCAAACAGCCGTGCGGGAAATGACCTCAACTTTGCGATTTGTTAAGGAAGGAAATGAAAACATCAAGCAATACGCTTTAGAAGCACTAGAAAGTATCGAAAATGTCATGACCTTATCCATTAAAATTTTCAGAGCTCGCAAATAGCTCAAACGCTCCACAGTTGAGATCACTTCTTACCAACATCATTGATTTAACGGAACAAATTGCTGCAAGAACCACTAGACATGCGTATAAATAAACTTTATTCAATACACTTTAAATCATAATCAATGGAAAACTAGGCTACAAACGTTCAACACGATTGTAACAGTTCAACACAACTAATACATTAAACTTATGCACGAGAGTTTGGAAAGCTAAACCTCACATTGACAACTGGAAGTCTTATGGGGTGAATTCCAAACCAAGACCGAACTTGTGCGCCTCATTGTTAGCCAAGTTGAACTAAAATAAACCTTTGATTTTTTCCAAAATAAGTGGCTAACCTGAGAAGTCAAAGTAAGCTTGAGAGCATCAGAGAGCGAGTGAGTGGCAGCGACGGCAACCTAAATCGTGAAATTAGGTTTGCCGTATAACTAAAAAGCCAACCTGAGATTCATTGTTGACTTTTGCTCGGAAAGTCACGTCCTTGCATGGGGCGTATTTTGTAGCAAGCCCATAGCTAGCACCATTTGATCCAGTTTTCCATCCAAGCTGAGCTCCAAGCTCCACGCTACGGCCGACCTTGTGGAAGAGAGTTGCACCAAACTCGTTCGAGTTCAAGACAAATGAGTGAAGAGTATAGTCTGGAGTGGTGTGTCCAAAAGCAAGTTGAGATCTAAAGGAAAGGTAAAATACGATAACAAATCAAATAGTGAATACCCAGCGAGTTTGTTTGTGGCGGTATCAAATGTTGCCGAAGCACCAAATAGCCATCCTTCACGAGCGAATACAGCAGCAGCATTGACCACAGGAGCAGCAGTTAGTCCAACATCAGCAGTAACCTAAAATTTGCATTAACGCCGTATAAAAACTTTGACAGTTAGAAACCACTTACACGTAAACAATTATTCGAATAATTGAGACTAAATCGGCTCCGATTTCGTAAATAGTTAGAATAAGCAAGTAGAACCGTTAGTTTAAATTTATAAGGGCTCACTCGGGCTGTGGGATGCGACCAGTCAGCCTTCAGTTTTCCCGATCGCTTGCCAGCATGTGGAGCTGAATCGAAATTGTAACAATAAAACAAAATGCAGCTAACCATAAGTTGAGTCAAATGTGAGCTTGAGGCCTCGTCCGAATTGTTCATCAACTTCAACGACGGTTCCCAATTGGTTGTCGGTGTTCCACTTCTCGGTGAGGGTGAGCCCTATATAAATTATTCTTTCGTTTCCTATTTTTCTACAAAAATAAAGAAAATTTAAATATGCGGTGCCCAAGATCAACTGGTGTCGAATTTTTGCTAGCTAATAAGAGTGAAAAATAAGCGCAAGAACTCTTTAACCAAATAGCATAATTCAATATTTTTAGAAGTTTAAAGCACCGTAAAAGCTAACCGTATTTTGGAAGCTTGTACTTCACATCCAAATTTCCAGCAAGTTTTCCGTTGGCAATGTTGTGCGCGGCATTAGTCTTGAATTCGACTTCCTTGTTGTCACCAGCATTGGTTGTTGATTCAACTTTCAAGAATCCGTGGTCTAAAATGGAAAAAATAAGAGTTAAAACGTCTAATACTTACTGTATCCCTTGGTGAAGAGATCTTTTGCAGATTTGCCGAGATCAGCAAAGGTTGGTGGAGCCATTTCACTAAAAATTAATACAATCTCGGCCGTGTTGAAGGAATGCGGCACAAAAAAATCACGCCACTCGTGATGCAAGACAAAAATTTTTAAGAGATACGCAAACAAGATGAAAGAAGCAAGATCCTATGACGACCCTTACTCGAAATCGATAAGAAGAGAGTGGGTCCAATGAGAAACGGAGAGAAAAAGACGGATAATAACGTGACTTCGCGCGAATGACCAGCGCTTAAGGCCATGCGAAAGTGTTAGCATAAAGACAAGATGCTTGGCACGTGTATCTGATGTACAATAGAATTTGATGATAGAATAAGTTAAAACTGGTCGACTTCAACCAAAACGATGACCAGAAGAGTGGTAAAACTAAGTCAGAAATCACAAGCTAGGGAGGGTCTTTGTTACAAAATTTGGAGACTGTTGGCAATCTAATTAAAGGACAGAAAGCAACAAATGTCAACGCCAACAAAAAAATGAAATGCTTGCCCAGAAAAAGAGAAAAGTGAAATGCTCTCACAAAAGGGGTAGGGAAGTTTGTTTTGAATTTTAGACTACAGTTAAAATCAGGTACGGTAGCAAATTTTAAACGGTATAAATCGTTTTGCATCTTAAGGATGAATAAGGAATTAGCACGAGGCTTTTTTTTGAAATGGACCACACATTCTTGCGCACTTCTAAAGCTGCAGAGCAGGAATAGATTGGGTAGAATCGACAATTTTCATGCAATTAACCCCAGACTGTCAAAAATGATAAGCGACAGTCGCGAAGCTTCTTTATTAGAGTGAATTACAAGTGTTTTTCCCTTTTCTTGTCATTTTCCGTCTTTTCCCTTTTGAAAATCAGCTTCGCCCGTATTCCGAGGCAATAAATGGTCCCAAAGCGATCTTTTCTCTATCGACCTTTAGTCCTTGCCAATACTTTGAATTCCCTCTCTGTACGTTTGCGAGTGGACTACAACCATTGCTTTTTGGTTTCTTCATCTTGCATTTACTTCTAATAACTTACTGAACTTGTATTTTTCTTTAATTTAGATGAGGGTACCACTTGGGATTGCCTTACTTTGCCACGTCGTCTTCTCGTACGATGCGGTGCTTTTCTCGAATTCCCAGGAGCTAAGGTAAACTGATGTTTAGGAATAAAATCTGTAAAATTTTTTGTTTTAGCGCAGAAACGCCGAGTTTGGAGTCGTTGATAAGTGGTGCCTCGGCGGAACATCCTCTCATTTTCTTGGTTGAGCCGGATTTCACCATTGGATTATTCAACAAGTATTGTTTTCATTTCATAATCGTTTATCCAACGTTCAACATTCAACTATGTTTTTATTATGCTTCTTACAGCAGACTGAGAAAGCTAGATAATGGTTTTTTATGATAGGAAAGTTACATGCATTGCACCGTTGTTTGTTTTAGGCATGCTTCCGTATATCAAGCTGATGGAAAAGCTTCTCCGTTGGCTCAAATGGTACGAGAAGCCAAGTATTCAGCACAGCGGCATCTTGATGCTACTTATGAGGTAAACCTTGCTTCAACTTTATTGTTTTATTGTATTTTAGGTTCCAAATGCTCAAGCCGTATCACAGACAGGCGAATATCAAAATGGCGCATCGACGTATCTGGTTTCCGCAGATGATTGGAGTCTTCTCGAGGAGCTTTCCGCAAATGTAAAATTGAAATGATGTGCGAAGCTTACAAAATTTTTAAGGTTTTGTCAAAGGTGAACTCGTTCACAGCTGTTCTTGCAAATTCTGAAGCAGTCACTCAATCACAGGTATTTATTTTTCAAAGCATTTGAAAATCAAGCTTTAGGGGAGAGTAAAGCGTCTTTCGTCAGACGTGGAAGGAGAGCGAGGGGAAAGAGCGGTGAGTTCATGTTTTAACTGCCGCTAAACGTTAATGTTTCTATAGGGTCAACGAAACTCAAAATACTATAAGAGTCGCAACTATTACTCGGTTTGTTAATGGCGTGTTGTAATATGTGTGCTAGCGTTGCCAAGACTTTCGACTGAATTTTTCATTTTCATGTCTTTCTAGGCTGATGCTGATCCTACAGTCCGTGGAAGCCTTCCCGTGACCATTCCACCTTACAATAGAACCTCATTGAATGGGGGTCTTCAACCAATGACAAATAGAAGCTGTCTTCTCTACATGGAAGGAATCTCAATTATTGCAACAAAAATTCAAGGTAAAGGCTTTGACTTAGATAGCTTATAAAATTAACTTATAGGTGAGGTTCCATCTGGCTACCCTGCAGGCGTCGCAACGATTTCCGGAGAAAATGGCACCTTCTATGTGCGATTATTGTTACTAAATTATTATCATTTATAATTTTAGTATGAGGATGGCGATGTTATATGTGCTACGCAAGAAAATCGTTTGGACAATGGAATCTTTACGTTAGTTTTTCTGTGGTTAATAGAACGTAAATATATCAAAACTAGGCGTATACATCTCCAATTATAGGTTTGTCGTCAGGCTGTCTTTCACGGATTCGGTCACTGGCACAAATGTTAATGGACAGCAATTCACTGTTCCAGGTGGCCAAAATATCAGCTTCCGATTGGTTTTCAAGGTAAGCGTTTTCTGCTAACTAAAATATTGGTAAGAGGATGTAAAAATTAAACTAATTTCCTGTTTATTTTGTAGGAAGGTCAAAGGTAAAATTTATTATTTAGGAAGACGTGCAATTCTATTGGGCCCTTGATAGCTTCACATTATTGACGGATATCAAGATTGCTGTAGCGGAGGGAGGCAAAGGATTTATTGTAAGTATACCAATAATCTACGTACTTTTAAAGTGACTTATGAGCACTCATTTATTACACAGTGGATAACTGTTTTACGATTTAGGATAAAGAAACATCGACTGATGTAACAAAATTCGGGAACGCTTCTGGCATCGGTTATATGGGTGTGAATGGAGTTGTTGGGTATGCGTTTTAAAAATTAAAAGTTCTTATCGTGTTTTCAGGTATTCTTGGAATTGTGGTGACTCGGCGGCTGCTTGGTTTCCCACCAAAGATGATAGTGTTCGAATTGGAATTGCGTTCCACAATTTCCAGGTAAATTCGAAATTTCGTTTATTTTGCTTAACATTTATGTTAATTAAATTTGAACTTCATTTTTTTTGTTTAGGTTCAATTGCGAAATATCCATGCCGATAAATCATTCTTCTTTGACCGGCAAGTCGTCGATTGTGTGCCAACTTTCTCAACAGGATCACTGATGGGTGAGAAGACTCAATGGATTCCTTTGAAATTTTTTATTTAGGTATTATCTCAGCGCTCATAATGCTCTCAATCTTTATCTTTGGTTTCTTGATGTTGAACTCTGTGCAAACGATGGACCGATTTGATGACCCGAAGCAGAAGCAAATTCTCATCAACGTCCGGGAATAAATTAGAAAGGTGAATAAATAGTAGTTTTTCTTGCCATCAACTTTTCTCTGAATTGTTAGTATTCAAACTTAGCCATTTTGTCCACTCATACAAAAATTCGACTTCTATTTTTCCCCACTAGTCGATGGCTCTCATTGTGATGTGCTTTGGGCCATAATTGGTCGTTTTTTTCTTCGGCTTACCGGTCCTCACTTAAGCTGTATATGTAGGTTGTGCGTTGATTTTGATTTTTGCTATTGAGGAAGAGGGTATTGTATAAATCATAAATCTAGTGTTTTAGGAGTTCTCTTTCTAGTGAAATTTAAGAGGAAAGTTAGAGTCAACTTTTATTGAGTCAATTTTTTCAAACTAAAACATTGCCCATTGGAGGTGACCCCGTTGATCATTCCACTAATTAATTTGCGATCACTCTTTCGTCTGCGATATTGTGTTTTTTCTTTACTCTGTTCTTTCCTCTTAAATTTATAGAATATTCTGTTTTTAAGTTGTGAATATTGTTTATTATGTCTATCAATAAAAATTTTACAAAACTTGTTTTTAATCAAATTTCAAGAAATCGACAAGGCTTTCAATGTTCTCAACGCAGTTTGATGTGAGGTCGACGTATTTTGCGTCCAATAAAAGCAGTCGAATTTGTTCCTAAATTTTATTTTTTGGTGGTAAAATATGTTTCGTGTTACATACATGCAACTTTTGGAGCTTCTCCCAAGTGATCCTTTGTTTGGGTGTCTTCAATTGACGATTCTGATAGGCCCTTGCTGCACCGTACTCCAAAATGTAAAGTCCCTATAAATCTTTTTATATTGTATATGCAAGTTGGGGTTATTTTTCTTTTTGCTTACCTTGAAAATGATCTGTTTCAAAGCTTCTTTTCCTTTTGCATAGGGTAAATTTTTAATGGCCCGCTGCAATTTGATAACTTTTTTGTCATCCCTTCGCCAACAATGCCCCAAAATTGCCATCTAGAATTATCTATTAAACACCAATCTCCGTTTTTTTGATTACCTCAGAAAATCGCTTATCAATCAAAGAGATCTTGTAGACCGAATCAATCACTGGATCCTTGTGGACTACGTTGTCCTGAAATTTTTATTTAAATTCTATTGATACAAAAAACTTGCCATTGTCAATTATAGTATTACTGTTAGTTTAATATTCGCTTACCGTTTCTGGAGTCGGAATTTTCCACCAATAGCCGGATCTCGGATAGAAAAACCATCTCTCGTATCGACGTGGATGGGCGTTCACCAATTTGTGACAAATCGAGCACACTTTTTGTGAATTTTTATCACCAAACTGAAATTTTACATAAAACTTTACCCCTTTAAGAGTTAGAAATGGTGGAACTTGGTATGCATCAAGTTAACTAGAACTTTGCTTTTTTTTAGAACAAAATTACCTCGGTCACCGCTCCACAATGACAAATAAGTCGTTTCAATTGTTTTTCGATGTCGTCTTCGTGAATCTTCATTCCCACTAAAAAGATTTGTGGCTTATGATACTGTAAAGACTCATTTTCAGCCTGTTATTCCACTACAGTACACCTGAATCAAAAAAGTACTCAAGCAAACAATATATTTACAGAATTGAATTGAAGTGTACTCCAGTCTTGAGACTAGGGTATTTTACAAAGTCGTGATACAATATACAGTGAGAGAAGCTTTTGTAATGGCGATAGCAATCGACTGTCTCATAAATGTTAACGTCGAATACTCTTTTTCTGCAAGTGTGTAAACTCACATTGAATATCAAAACGTCGACACCATTCCCGATTCACATCACAGCTCAAAGGATAATGCGGTTCCCATCCACATTGAGAACAAAAACCGATCTTACATTCAGCACATCGAATCACTGGGCTGTTCGATAGGGGAACGACGAGGCGAGTCGAACAGCCGATACACTCCACAACCCTCGTTCCTGCTTCCACCTCGTTCTCCTAAAAGCAAAAATTCCGACTTTCCCGTTGGCTACCCTCACCTCATCAAGATCCGTATACACGGAACATCTCCCCATTCCCATTCCTTTGAAGTTTCCCGGATTGGCAAAGTGCTTGGGTCGGGCTCGGATTCGACGCTTTGAGGGGCTTTCTAGTGGGATTTCACACAGTTTCATGGCTTTCGGGTAGTCAAGCTGAAAATATAAGGTAAGGGTTTTTGGGTCTTTATTCTTCTATCCACTTGATTTTCTTGTTCTTCAACAAATTCGATATCTTCATTAAGATCGGAGATCAATGAGCCAGAAGCGCTAGCCAAGGAAACGATTTCCCAAGAGTTTTCCTCAAGAGGCGACTCGGTTCTTTTCTTTTTCTTCTTTTTATCGTTGTTCTTTGTTTCTTTAACATAATCCACCAACGAATGCCTAAAGATCGAATTTCTAGATGATCTGCAACACTCCTTACAAAGTAGTTGATCGCTTTTCCGTTGGATCCACCCAATCATAGTAATAATGATCCTCAAAATCGGATCCATCCAAATCGTCTAGATCTTCAATCTCATAGGATAATTCCTTTTTCTCGGTGTACCATCGACACTCTGAAATATCGAAAGTATTCTGTATTCTCCAGAATTTAATGTTACAAGCGACTTTTTACTCACTCTTCCATTTGATGTGTCGAGAGAGTCTTTTGACGGGAAGTTGCCTCAATGGAAGACAAGTTCGTCGCACATATGAAACCCGGGATAAAGCTGGCACTTTTTCGATTTCATTCCCTTTCGCGTCTTTCTGAAGTTTAGCTTTCTAACGTTAAAGATGCATAGAAGCCATCAAATTAGATAATTTGTATGCTTACACAAGAAATGAAACCGCAAGTGCCAAATCCCTTTACAAGACCAACTATTCAGTGCAATATCACTCACCTTTGACCCTTCAAACACGCCAGAAAGTTGCATTCGGGCATCTCGAGTCTAAACAGCTTTGTTTCTCTTTTACTTCTGCAGCTTTCAAAATGATTTAGCTCTATTAACAAATTTCAATTTAAAGGGATTCTCAGATCTGTTTTCCTGTCCCAATCCACCGATCTACTCACATTCTGAGCTCCTCCCAATTGAATGCTTTTCACTTCATCTTTTGAATGATCCAAATAATGAAGCTTCTTGACTCGTTGGAAATAACCCCCTAAAACGTGGATTTTTCATGATTAAAAATTGTTGCTTTCCACTTACAAATGTTCGTATCAACAGATTCTTCTCTGAAGTAGACTTGTGTCTGATCGTGAAACTCTTCCTCGTGTAGTAAAACCTCGGGCACAAACCACTAAATTGAAACTATGCTTTAAAAGAACAAAGCAAATTATACCTCCCATCGTTTTTGCTTGTTTAACGAATATCCGACTTCTCCGCCGTCTCGCAAACGCTTCAACTCACTCTGTAAGATTTTAGAGTCATCAGATAGTTTAAAATATAGAAAACTAGACCAAAAAAAAAATACTTAAAGGCAGTTATTTCTTATTGAAGTTTTTTTTTCTACAAACTTTTGTGATTTGATTGTCGGGATCCTCAACGACGCGTGCACAGATGCCTCGCTTGCCGAAGAGTTTATGCTGAAAATGATCGATGATTTGGAGGACTTTTTAAACTTTGTAAAGCTGGGGTGTTTTTTTGTTAGATTGTTGAATAACTGACCTCCATGCTGGCATACCGATGGTGATATTGTGGCGATTTCTTTGAGACATCTTCTTTCCAGTAAATGTCTTCAGTTGACATGCAAAAGGATTTAATTCTGAAAGAAGTTAGCTCAATAGAAACTCTGTCAGAAGTAAACCAGAAAGTTTCTCACTCTCAATTTACTTACCTGTTAGTGTGACCCTTGTTTGTATGGACAAGAGTGATTTAAAAAGCCGGTTCCTCCTTTGTTTAGCAATAGGTAAGTTGTAGAATTAGTTGTAGAAATAGCGAAGAAAATCTCCCGTTTTCGGGAGTTTCGAAGTTTCAAAATCTTTCCAAAATCCCCAGCTCTTATACCAACAAAGCATTGCACAATCTTGCCCCGTTCTGTCGCCGTTTTCCCCTCTTTTTCTCTCGATTTCCCCTTTCACTTTATTTCCTTCTTCACTGATTCATCAAAAATTCCGCTTCTTCAAAAAAGTCTTTCATAAGTACCCTTCTTTGATAACAGATCTACACCTGTTTTTTTGTGCAATTTTTTGTAAAAAATAAAACTTTATTGAGCATTATTTGAAATTTAGTGAAAAGCTAATTGTAAGCAGAGAAGAAGCAATACTGACTATAGAAAAAGACAAAGGAAATTTAGGCAAGGAACTTAGAGAATTTCCAAATAAAAGCACCAATATTTACAGAAAGCTTTAACTGAAAACAATTTTCTAAAAGGCCATTGATGAGCGCCATTTCCGATCACAATTCTCATGGGAATTGATTGGAGTCACTCGGTATTGATCGTGAAGGTGTTGAGCCTGAACACTTTTCTTTTTATTTAGCTATAAGTTTAAAATCAAGTGAACTATATATCCAGAGCTAACCGATTTCTTGTTTATCTATCAAAGCGTTTCACTTTGCTTTCAAGGCCATCAGCCGTACTATTGGGAAACTCCCGAAATCACGCCATTCAGTATTCAAATGCAAATCTCGAGTGACCCGCGGCCGATGAGAAAAGTTGGATACTGTGTGAATCGGGAAATAGAACTGGATTAGGAAAGTTCTATAGTACAAAGGTTCTTATTGAGTTATACCCTTCACGATAATTATTTGTAACCAAAATGGCTCAAGATCAGCACAAAATAGAGAATTTGTTTCTGAGATACAACAAACGAACCCCGCCAATCGTTTTCCCGATTCCGAAAACCCCTGGGTACAAACTTTTGGCTTCATATCTCATTTGAGCAATGTTTACAGAACAAAAGCAATTCCTTTGTAAAGAGACTGCAAGGTGTTCTTTGTGCGGTCTCTTTGTGCGTAAATGCTAGCCGTTTGGCGCAGGGCTTTCCCATAAGCCTTACCTCCAAATTTCTCGAGATTCTTTGCAATCTTCTTTCTGCTGGTCCATGTGACGGGATTTCATGGTAAGATCTTGGCTCGATGATTTTTGGAGTCAACAATTCATCATTCGGCAATCGATCGTGGATCTCGTTGGCGTTCTAAAGTTTAGACGATGGAATATTACTATCACAATGCTATTATCTTTATCAGTTATTGGAGAGATTTTCTTGGATTCATTCCCGAATTCAATCCTTGTATGTCTCATATGCCTCTTATTATTTTCCTCGCCTGTTGAAAGGCTCAATAGATGGATGTGCGCTCATTTGATGTTTATCTCAATCCCCGTTTCTGTCTTTCATTTTCCTTTTTGTCCTAAAGACTCAGGATCAGATTCGCTTCGCTTATTAATGTGAGTTGTCCGAAGAGTACGCAGAAAAAAGAGAGGTGAGTCGAGAGGGACAATGAAATGATGATCTGTGCAAAAACTTGGGGAGAAAAACTACGTGGCGAGGGTATTACTATTACATACAGAAGATAACTTTTAAAGAGCAATATCTTTTCTCAAATAACCTACAAGACTTTTCCTCCTTTCATTCTCGGCCTCTCTCGCTTCTCGCTCAAAAAAGGCTAGCTTTGTGCGCACATCAGCGTCCATTCGAGGACTCGCTCCCTAAAATGTTTTGTTCTTATAATTGAGCATTTAAATTCTAAATTTATCTTCTAACTATGCAAAAGTTCTAAGTTTAGGTTCTAAATATTCTAAATATATCTGAAGTATATTTAGAATATTTAGAATATTGTAAAGGAATATTGTATTTAGAATAAATTTAGATTATTGTAAAGGCTTACAACTTCTTGTAAACCAACCATATTATCTGGACGATTGATTTCCTTCTTCTCATTGACATTAATCTTTGGCGGATCCATGCCAAAATAAAATTCGGGGAGAGAAGAAGAAGCTTCTAATAATTTGATAAGATAAAAGAGAAGTGATCATTTGATACCTCTATTTGAAGAGAACTTGACTTTATCGTTGAGTTTCTTCTCCTCATCTCTCACCCAACTGAAATCAATTTCGGATTGATCTCCTCGGGGCATTCCAGAGACTGAAGATCGACATGATGAATAGCCCGTTTCCGTTAATCGAGAATTTCTATAAGATACGTGAAGTAAGAAGAATACGTTTTATTACCGATCCCGGGGAATGGGTTGTGCATAAGTGCAAGAGGTGGAGATTCTCTTCTCGACTCGCTCAATGTTGTGGACTCGCTCGCGGAGAACAGCTGGTGATGGGTTCAATTCCTGCAAAGAAAGCATGGTGTTAACAAATTTCTAAACCAATTTTCAATTTCAAATTTCTTTTCTGTTAAACAAATTCCCCTTTTCCTTTATCCTTTTTTATGTTTCCCCACTCGAGATAAGGTGCAAATTTGCTAGACACCTTTCACTCAATTGTTTGTTGATGTGACTAGTCCAATCCAATCAGAAAAAAAAAGAACCCCCTCAAGTTATCTGAGATGAAAGTTGAGAGTTCACGTTTTGTCAACTCTCTTTTGACAGCCACTACACAAGAGCTTCAAGTAAACAATGTTTAAACTTGTTATCAAGTGTTTCTCAAATGTAAGTAAACATTGTTAGGTGAGAATTTTGCCAATTTTTTCTTACCTGTAAAATTTCGTGATTGTGATCACGGCTGTTTTGCGGTTTTGCATTGATTGGTGCTCGAGCTGTCTCGTAGTGAACGGGAGATTCGGGCCGGATTCGCTAAAATATAATAGATAAATAAAAAAGATAAAAACAATTACCGTTAGAATTTGAACAGGAATTTTCCTTTCTCGAATATCTTTCTGTTTTCTGGGTTCTTCTTTTGACTGCATCATTCCCATTGAGCGATCACTGCGGCGATTGTCTGTCCAACTGAAAATGACAAGTTCTTTACAAGTTCTACCGTAAAAATGTATTGAAATTTACTTTACTTACCCGTCAACATTATTTTGTGACTCAGATGGAGAGGAGGCAAATGGAGAAGAAGTGGTGAGTGGAGAAGGTGAAAGAGACCCCCTGCCCGATGAGGAACGAGCTGCTGTTGAGGTGCTAAAAGAATTACACTGTTATCGAGTATGTATTAGGTTGTCCAGAAAGTCTTTTTGTTCCTTTTCGTACTTCCGATATGCATAAAACTTATGACTTTTACATGTTTCCCTTGATCAAATCTGTCATCAAATCTGCTGACCTCTCCACTCTTGGATGTGCCATCTGTGAGCGTCTCATCTGTTCGATCCATGCTTCCTTTTGAGCTCTATCAATGTCGATTCGATGTCTAAACTTGATTCTTATATTCTGCCAAACTTTTCTCACTATATTTTACACATTTTCCGTACTCGATGCGGGAGATTCACCCTTTACAACCCCTCTATTTTGCATACCACAATAGGTTGTCTCTTTCTTTCTTTTTATCGAGAGTCTCGTGTCCAATAAAAGGTCTATGTAAGGGTTGTGGGTTGGTCAAAAGGAGGAAAAAAAAGAAGAATGGGTAGATCAGATGACCTTGTCTCTTCTTTTTTACTTCTCTTTTCTCACCGACCTATGGCGAGGGTGAGGCACTTTGCCTCTTTTCCGATTACCATTCCTATCGATGTTGCAAAGGTATTTTTGCACTAACAGTACAAAAGTACCGTTTAGTTTTTTTGGTTTATGATTCCTATGTACTGACATAGGAATTAATTCTTTGAGAACAAATTATGGTTTGTCGGTTCACCGGTTTCAGTCACTCTGTGTTTACAGGTTCTACCTTTCCCTTTCCATTCGAGAAATGTCTCTTCCCCAGAAAAGGATTGGCTATTGAGGGTCTGGCATCCGGAAGGGAAAAGAGATGCATTGAAGAATGAAATGAGGGGTGAAGATGAGAAGTGAATGAAAATGAGTGGGTGAACGAAGGGAAACCATGAACTTTCTCTCTTCTCTTCTCCAAGTCAACCAGTTACAAGTTGTTTCTTTTCTTCATGTTCTGCCAAATTGAACCGACATTGTTGACTCTTAAAGGAAGTCCCGGTGCTGATTGGTGAGTTTCGAAAACTGTATGGCGAAAAAAAAGAAACAAGAGTTTCCTGTTATATTTTATAACCAGCTAATTGGATAAAGGGAAAAATTTTCCAATACTTAGTGACATTTCAACAACGAGATGATTACGCCAAACTTCGCTTTTTCCGTTCTGATTCGTGACTCACTTAAAAAGCAAATTTCTTTACGACTACATAGCTAATCAGATCATTCGTTTCTATATGTGCTTCTAAACTCTAATCAGAAACAATATCGATTATCTATGTATTTCCTTTTTATATCAAAAGTGACCTTCTCTAAACCATAAACTCATACAGGTCATTTGCAAACAAAGCATCCAGTTTACATTTTATATCAGAAAAAAAAAGTGAGTTTTATGTTAGGAAATGTTGTTGTAAACGACCCCCTCGACATTTTGGGAAAAGAAAAATGACTGAAAAGTTTTTTTCTCGCAAGTGAATGAATGAATGAATGGAACTTTCCTTTTCTAGCTATTCTTTCTCTAAAGTGAGAGACGGGGAAAGTATCGAGTCCAGAAAAAGGGATTCCATTGCTTCTCTTGCTTCTCCTTCAGGTGATTGTGAGAGATGTTTTTGATGAGATCTTTTCCTGTGTGCTCAATGATATATTTCACTAGCGGAAAAATGGGTGAAAGTTCTGTTCATCAAAGAGAATCTCTATTGACAGCGGGGATGATGACAATTTTTGTGGAAAGGAAAGGGTGCGGTTCACAGCTTGATCCAAATAAGCAATTAGTGAGGACGGATATCTTTTGGATCGCTTGTCAATAATAATCAGTTATGGGAAAAGTTTATTGAAGTGGATGTGGACAGGCTCTTTGGGAACGTTTCGAGTTTTACAGGGTCACCAGAAATAACAGAGTATTTTTGTTGAATCTTTTTTTTTCCACCAACCTTTTAATAGCAAGAGTACTGTTAAGCTGTTATTTTAAAAAAATTGAATATTTTTTAAGTATAAAAACGTCGTTGTCAATCTAGCAACACAGGTTTAATCTTTTTAGAAGATTAATGGCTAAACTATTTTGATAGAAAATATCTACCTGTCTAGTTTCTAATATTCCTTTCCGTTTTTGAGTCATAGAAAAAAATTCAGCATTTTTTCGCGTCACAAAAACCACTCCGTTATTTCTGGTCACCCTGTAAATTTCAACTATTCTCACGGTCAGCTTCATAAGTACGGTACTAGCTCCAGTTTGTGATATTCAAATTTCTTTAAGTACCTGGGCCAAAGCAAAGACCCCTTGGGGAGAGGGTTTTGCTGAATGGAATCCCCTTTCATGGGAGGTGAAAGACGGGGAAGGGGGACTTCTTGATTTCACCCCACTCACTTCCCCCCTTCCTTGGTCGTTCTCGCCGTTCCCTCCTCGAATAGTCTGAAGGGCCTATTTGCAGTGTCAATATCGAAAATGGCCGATTCCTTCTCACAGAAGACGACCCTCTTCTTTTCATATAGGGGAAGGGGGGTCAGTCTTGCATCTTATGGAAGGGAAAGCCGGAAGAAATTCACGCATGATAGATAGGAAGTGATCATCAAGAGATAGAAGAGACTGCTAGCTGGAAAGTGGCCGATCTTTCCAAAAATGGATAATCGAGAGATCGGGCTGTTCAAGAGCTTTCCTGATAGTCATCTAAATATATAACCTTTAACAACTATTATATTTGGTTTTCAAAACTTTCTAGTTTATCCTCCTACACGTTTTCTTAAGTTTCCCAGGTTTAGTCTCAGGAAAATAGTTGAAGTAGCTTATCTGGGATCAGCAAATTCAACCGATCGGCCTTGATCGAGACTAATCCCCCAAAAATTTCCTTATGCGCGGTGCTCTTTTCGCGGACATAAAATGAGAGGTGGGCTGCACCTGTATCCCCCAAAAAATGGTCACAGGACCTTTTCCCCTTTTACCTTTACCCATTTACCCCCTGAATACATGCATTCACCTACACTCTCCCAGCCGACAAGACTCTCCCTTCATTCACCTCTCCTCAATCCATTCACAGGGTCATCCAAGGTCATCCCCCTTTTCCTTTTCTCCTTTCTTTTCTCATCTGTTCAGTCTCATAAAGGGTGAACTCCAGCTGAGGATCGATGAGAGGGAATCCCCCATATTTTGACACCTCTAAGATGGTGAAGAAAAACGGGTAGCTGGTGGTTACTTTGAAAAATGAGCGGTCACTTTGAATGGATTTGAATTGGATTGAGAGGGAACGCTTTTGAATGAAGAGAAGATGAAATACAATTGAAATGTCTTCAATCAGAGAATTGGATATATTAGATAAAAAGCTAATGAAATTAAAAGTAACAAAAAAGAAATCGATTGGTTCAATTCAAAGTCACTAAAAAAAAGCTCAATTTCGATAATCTGTAGCGGAAATTGAAACGTTTGGTAAAACCGGTTTCCACTATTTTCCCCCTGTTTACTATTCAATTCTATATGGAAATGATTTCTTATCGAACACTTTTACCAGAGAGAAATTTTCGATGAATATGTGCAACATTGGAACGCAAACATTCCATCCGCAAATGGATTCAATCACAGATGATCGAGGAAAAGGAAATAACCACAAATTGGATCACCCTTCTTCTTCTTCTTTGATCTGGTTTCAGAATGGACTTATAGCTTAGCTGATCACCCAAAAAACAATCTCAGAAATTAGTTCAAAGAGATTAGAACGTAAAAAAAATCGAATTTCCATGTCGCGAAAATTTTTTTTTACGAAATCCGGAAACCCTTTGGTATTTGATTAAATTCCCCACTATTCACTATTGATTGAACTCAAATCTTAACGTGTTCCGACCTATTAGTCACTACGTAAATTCTTTGTTTTCTAAACATCGACTCATCAAGAGGGGTTAAGTAGAAGAAGTCTTCCTTTTTCCACCCTTTCTTTCCCCCCCAAGGCGTTTAACCCACTTTTTCGTTGCACTCTCTTTTTTATGAGGCTCGTCAAAAAGTTTCTTGGTTTAAATAAGTATAAAATAAAAACAATAAACACTTTTGAAAGCCCACCTGTGAAGATTGTCAAAACTAATGGCTCGTTGAAATTGATTGGGTGGGGGAGGTGCACGCATTGGATGCATTTGTGGCGGTGGAAGCATTGCACCTAGAACTTTTTTTTAGATAATATTATACAACTGTGAAATAGTTGTTTGAATATTCAAGTAGTTCAAAGAATAAAGATCGGAGTCATTTATTGTCACCTGGAGCAAAAGCGATCGGAGGCATCTTGGCACCCATCTTTTTGAGCATTTTCTTGTGACGCTTCTCGAGTTTCTTCATTGTTTTTGGGCTAGCCATAATGATTGGTCTAAAAATAATGAATTAAAAGAACGCTTAATGCAAGCAAACCTTGCATCAAATGCAAATTCGTGTAGTGATAAACGGCTGGCTCGCTTGGCACGATCAGAGTCGCCGGGACTTGTCATATAGCCCGAATCGGCTCCATTTAGGGACATTTGAGATCTATATACATCTATATAAAAATCTATGGGATCTATATCCAAAGACTTGTTATCAACTAACTGTATCTGATACTACAACCTAATGGTTATTTAGGTTCCGTTTGATAGAGTAAACAGTAAAGATTTGAGAGAGGTTCTCACCGTCTCAATTGTGAATGTGGATGACCAGGCGGCGGTGGTGGAGGGCCCTGATGAGGCACAAAACTGTACGGAGTTCTCTCATAAAGAGATTGAGGCCGGGGAGGAGCTGATCCAAAACGAGGAGGAGGATGACGGGAGGGGAGAGCTGTCGTGGGAATTCCATGTACTCCATGTGGAGGACCCCATGGAGGACCGCCATGTCTTGGATATGTTGATTGAACCACCGATGGACGATTACCCATTTCTGAAGGTTAATCATGGCATCTTTGAGTTAAAATTGAAAAAAGCAACAGGAAAATTGTGATATAAACTGTAGAAAAGACACACAAAGCAAGCTTTCTCCAAATAGGTAGAGACTTATTTCAAAAGCAGCCTGTTTTCAGAAAAAAAAACACAGTTGGCGTTGAAAGCTGACAGAAAAATGCAAAAAATGCTAGGCTCTCGGCACAAGAAGGAATCTTTCGAATCGAAGTCATCTAAGACTATAATGAACATGTTTTTCCAAGGACAACCCAGATTAGCGCAGAGATGATGAGGCTTGAAATCCAAAGCTTCAAGAGGAGAAAAGAAAACATGTTGAAAAGAAAGGGAAAAGAGTTTCAGTCTCATGGAGGGTGAAAGTATTTCCCTAAGGGAGAAGACTCGGCATCGAGCCGAGCCTTCTTCCCTTTCCAACAGATGAAACTGGGTGTCTCTCCCCCATCCATTCCATATGTGTCTTTGGGTATTCGACCCCACCCACATTTCCTTTTTTTTCAGAAACTCCTCAGACGCATTTCCATCTCTTTTGAAGGAACTCGGATCAAATGACTGTAAGCCTCCCCACTCAATAACCTTCATTGAGAAAGTTTCCCCCAAGCATTCCACACACAACCTAAAATACAGGACTTTATGTCAAAACTTCTTTTAGTAATTAAATTTTGGATACGTAGAAGTACAAACAAAAAGAGCTGGAGTGAACTTGACTCTACCAAAGAAAGAAAATTTAATCCAGAAATTAATCAAGCAATAGTGCACAAATAAATCAACTAATATGGGCTGAATCATGAAGAAAATCGTGTGTGATTGGGGCACCCTTGAGTGGAGGGCGGGTGGATGGAAGGTGGATGGAAGGGTGAGTGCAGGCGAGGAGAGAGGAAAGGTGAGCCTGGTGCCCCATGCATTGCACACCCTTCGACCCCGCCCATTCTTTACATCCTTTTCCGCCTACACAAACCCTTCTTCACCCCCGTATTTCTCGTATGACCATCGATGGGAAGAAAGGTGATCCCTTTTCTCCATCAATGGGTGAACAACAGAAGGCCGACCGACAACACCGAGGGACACCTGTCATTTCCCTTGTACCAAAGGTCCACCCTGGAAGGGGCTTTTGGAAAAAAACCTCAGGAAACAATTAGGTATAACTGATGAATCTGAAAAGCTAACATTTGCGTATGTGGTCACGTATTTATCAAAAGTGGGTTCTACGCGTTTGCCCTGAATAAAGCCCCTGAATGTGCTGATCAAAAAGCTAACTCTCCTGTTCTCCTTCACCGGTCAAGTACATGAGATGGACACAACCAATAAAGAGAGAATCTCATTCAAGGAGAGAAGGTCAAAACGAGAGAACGGAGAACAACCACTGGACACACAATGACAATAAAAATCATAATCATTGACCGATAGAATTTATGATTGGAGCTTTCCATTGCAAATACCATTGATGGAGAAAGAGTTCTTCACTAAAGCGGTAAAGGGGAAAACTCAATGACCTACTTTGTTTTCTTTGGAAAGAATAGCCGGGTCATCATTTATGCCTATAGGTTTATAGATAAAAGAAAAATGTTGAGGTGTTTTCTGTTAGGATTTGAAAATAACTTCGGTGAAGAGGTTGAAGTGAACAGCTAGTGCTGTATGTTTGATATCAATCAATTCAATCAATTGATATCAACTGATCTTATTCATTTTTATGTACCACAATATCTAAGCATTATTTGATTTTTATCATTCACAAACTGGCTTTCAACTAATTTCTAAGCGTATCCTTTCTGACCGAATGACCCCTATTTACAGAAAGGAAAAAAAACAGCTGGGAAAGATGGAGTTTATAGCTGGAAATCAACGCTTAGACATTTTGTGGTTCAAATATTGCTTGTTGTTATTATAAGATGGATTTTTAATTTACAATTCTTTATTCTTGTTTTAAAGATGGAAACCCTGTCAAAGATATGTGAGAGTGAGGAGTCGATCGAGCCGATGCTCATCTTTCTCGGTGGAGGGAATATGGCCACAGCTTTGGTTGATGGAGCCGTCAAGAAAGGTTTGATAAATAGATAATAAACTGCTGATAGATTTATAAAATTGTTGTGTTTGTTCAAATAAAATAATGCTTTCAGGATTTGTGCAAAAAGAGCAAATCGCAGTAACGGCACGTAGTGAGGTGACTCTTAACAAGTGGAGGGTAAGTAGAAACAACTGAATATGAATTCAGGTCTTTAATTTCTAACAAATTAATCGCTTTAGAATAAAGGATACATGCATTTGAGTATGAATAATCGAGAAGTTTTAAAGAAATTTCCCAAAGGTGACCTTCATTGTCTGTAATCAATTATGAGAGATTTTGTAGCTCTTGTTTTCATCGCCGTGAAACCGCAAGCAAGATTGGAGCTTTTTGATCAAGTGAGTAAGATTTATGGGAATCATTTATGATTCACATTAGCAAATCATTCACAGATCAGACCACTCACTCAAGTTTGTATCTCGTTGATGGCCGGCGTGAATTTGAAAGTGCTCGATCAAGAGGTGAAAAGAAAATGTTGATAACGGAATAAGGCCATCTAAGTCTCATATTTTAGTTGTCAGGCTGTGACTCGTCATCTCATCAACCAGAGAATCCTCCCTTATTGCGACTTCATCCAAATATCGCTTCAAGCATCGGCGCGGGAGCGTCGATCATTTCGGCTCAACCATCTGTTTCCCCTATTGTTGTTGGTTTTGAAAACAAAACAAAACAGTTCCATTATAAGTGGCACATAATATTCAAAATTTAGTTACGAGTTGTTCGTTCATTTGCTGAATGCACCGGATTGTGTCTTCCCGTTGACGAGGAAACCTTTGATGCAGCTGGCACACTTGCCGGATGTACTCCTGCATGGGTATGTTGGAAAGAAGTATCAAAAGAAATATGATCACATTGTTATTATGAATGATTTAACTGATGTCATAATTGAATTTTGCAGGCTTTCACAATGATTGAAGGTCTTTCTGATGGCGGAGTTCTATCGGGTGTTCCTCGTTATCTTTCAACTCAACTCGTCGCTCAAGCAGTCATGGTTTCTTTTTATATCTAAATATCTTTAAGCTTAAAAATCTAATAAACTTTTAACGAAAAAACCACTTACAACCCATTATAGAATTGAAGAACTTTGGCTTTGGGAGAATTGAAAAAGAACTTTGGCATGGCAAAAGAAACTCTGCTATCGTTTTTCACTTATTGGATAATTGGTGTTTGACGTTTACAAAATGAACTCAAATCTCTATAATAAATCGTCAATTGCAAATCATCTTATAAAGTTTTGTTCAAAGGTAAAGTTTTGTTGCTTGTTCTAGAGAAGCTGAACAAGAGCTTTTATATGAAATCAACTTTAGTCACATACTATACACTTTTGAAGTTTTGATTTCTAGGGAGCGGCGAAATTGGTGCTGGAGTCGGGCGAGCATCCGGGAGCGTTGAAGGATAAAGTATGCTCACCGGGTGGTACAACCATTGCCGGCATTCAACAACTTGAAGCAAGAGGTGGTACTTATAGGTTATACCCAACGGTGAATAGTGCAAGAAATGTATCAAATTGAAAATCGGCTTTAAAATGGAAAACTCAGATAACCGAAGAGTACTCAAATTTCTTAGCAATGGAAATGAAAGTCAGTGAAACATTTAACCGTCGGAGAATAATTAATCTCTCTCAAAGATTGCCACTACTTAATTATTTCATTTACCAAAAGTACTCGAAACGTGATTTTAACTATAGATCATAATGTTCAAAACTCAAATTTCGCAGTTTTCAATGAAAAGAGTATTGTTTCTTTAGATAATATTAACACGAAAAGATCAGAGTAGCGATAATTGGTGATCTTGATCAAACACAATTATAAAGAAAACATAAAAACGAGAGTTTCTCGTGTTTCTTATTAGTGATTTCTTGAAGAAAACGAGTTTTACTTTGAAAAAAAAAACAGAATTTGTAGGTGTTCGATCGGGTTTTATCGAGGCGGTTCGAGCGGCCAATGAAAGGGCCAAAGCAATGACGAAAAAAGAGTAAACAAAGAATATTTTGTTATTTATTTTGGGTCACTATTTCACTTTTCGGTAATTCTTGTCTTAATAAATGATTGTTTTAATCGATGACTTGGTGTCTTACAAGTAGACAACAGACTCCAACAGTCTTCAAAAGTAGACAACACCCCAAAACGTGCTTCAAATCTCACTCACTCAAATTTGATATCCATTTTTGATATCCAACACTACCATATCCATTTTTCTAATTTTTGACTTTCAAATATACATTTGAAAATTGGTTCAATTACTCGCCACTTTGTAAACATTGCTCAACTCTTGCTGTAGAGATGAAAAATTATGAGGTGTACCCCGATTTTTGAACCAAACACAATTTCTCCAAAAAAGTTTTCGCCTCTGATCAAAAAGCTACATGTAGTAATTTATTTATTAACTTCGCACAAAAAAGTCTATATGAGAAAAATGCGAAAGATTCGAGTGATCTAAGGATGAGAGAAGATTATTTTCTTTCAAAATAATCCCAACTTCTCGGGGGAATCCTCCTTCAGAAATGAGGCCTCTGATCACCCAAAAATTCTCGTGATTTTCGAGTAAAGCGTCTAAAAATACACGCAAACATAATTGCTTACAGAAGCGTTACGTTCTAGAGGAATTTTTGGAGAGAAAGAAATGAAGATTTCCATCACAACAGCCATCACAACAGGTTCGATGCAATGTTTTGCCCTTTGGAAATTGGCGGCATATAAATGCTGTCAAGGAGGAGTAAAACTAACTCACAATCGAATTTTTGACTGCTTTATTATATGCGTTTTAATACTGCAAAAGAAGATAATAACTAGCTTGCAGTGTCGGCCCTTTGCTTGAATTGACAAGCCCCAATATAGGATTCACCGTCTCTCATGCATTCACCGACCAACCTTTTAGCCAATGAAATCCATATTTTCCAGATCTTTGAACCAAACAGTCTAGTTGACAGTCTTGATCTTGATTTTTGATTCCCGTGTACCTTTTTGCTCTTTCTTAATCACTTTCACGTTTATCTTCTAATACTAAAGTCATTAAATTGTTTACTTTTCAATGTTTCAGATAAGGTTGATCATCGGTGTTGATGCAATGTCCATCTCTAGGGATTTCGATTCATTTGAAACTGAATTGAAAAAAGGAGAAGCAGAAAAGACTTTGTGATAGACTATGCTTTTAATTGAAATATTTAATGGAGAAATGCAGAGATTCTTGAACATTCGAGGGAAGAAGAGGGAGGGGAGGATCACATGAGGGACTCCCTCAAGGACCGCTCCTCTCCCCTCACCATCAGTGTCCTCCCTTCTTTCTCAACCAATCGAAAGATCATTTCGATTCGTTTACAGAACAATGGATTTCACCTATCGTTTGCCTATTCATAGGTATTTTGTTTTTTCGCTTAACTCCTGACTTCTTAAGTGTTACAGTTGCAGTGCAGCTTTGTGCTTTTCATTGTCAGCACCACCACTTGCTTTAAATCAATTTTTGCAACCCATATCCAAAAATGATGAAACCCAAACTTTTTCTTTACAATTACCCCTGGTACTCAATTTCTGAACTAATGAAATCCAACAATATAACTCTTGTACGCAAGTAGCTGTAACACAGCTGTAACACAAGCACAATCACAAAAAAATCAAGCCTAGTTACACTTTTTTATTTTTCTCCAACCCATTACTTTTTTGAACACATGTGATTTACCTTCATTCACATTACTTTGAGAATTGCGCAAAGTGTCGGGAAAATCAAATTCGAAACACTTTCTTTTTTGCTCAATAATCACTCCTACAATGAGTCAAGCGTTTCCCCCAATCATTCTGATTTTATTTGGTTTTCTTTCGTAAATTTAATTTCATATCGATGGTCAAAACTTTCAGTACCGGTCATCGGAAACGTGAAAGGAAGAAAAAAAGGAAAGAAGTCAACAGACTGATTCTTGGATGAGTTCCGGGCCAAATTCGACGAGTCCTGGTAGTCAAATCGATCAATTATCACTTGGAATCATCGTTATTGGGGTGAGTATTGTGTGTACTTACAAGAGAAATTGTATCAGAACCAACTCTAACCTTTAGCTTTCAATGCCATCATTTTCAGATTTCCTTTGTGGGATTCCTTTCAAATGGTCTGGCCACATGGTTTGTCGCCACCGATCCCCAATTCCGTCACTCAACCGGTATCATCTGTATTAATACGACATTCGCGAACTTTGCCTACTCGACTATTTACTTGTGTTTTGTGGGACCGATGATGATTATGTAAGTTTGAAACGTTTAATATATCAGTAAGCCTTGGTGTTGCTGTGATTAGAGCCGGTTTTGGTCGGCTTACTCGATTTTCTGATGAAACCGTTTGATCTCTATTTTACGTCCGTTATTGGATCTATTCAATAACGGACGTAACACATAGATTAACTCTATAGCTTTCTCGATAAGGTATCTTCAGATACTCCAGATTCATAGTCAGAAATTTGCACTTTCAAAATCCTGAACCCATCCACTTTTAGGGGTTTGGGATGGTCAAACAGTGAACCGATGACCTCACTTTCTGTCATTATTTGGTATCTTTTTTTCGTCGGACAATATTGTGCTTTTTGTCTCTCAATGAACAGGTAGAAATTTCACCAATTGACGCATTATAAAGAATCAAATCGCATTTTTTTTCTCGAATTTGAAACAAAATTCCATTAGGGAATGTAGTCTTTCAGCAGCAAAGTTTACAATTTGCGAACATGTAGAAAAAAAGATTCAATTACTTCGAAATTTATTATTCAAAACGGTCGAATTAATCGAAATCAAAAACTTTTTTGAAAAGAAAACTGAGAACTTGCCTGTTTTTAAAAATAAGCGTGTTTTGATAGATCAATTCATTGGGATCAGGGAATATTGGCCACACAAAAAGTTTGAGTCTTTGTTGACGGGCAAGAATTTTTGATTTTCTAGTATTGTTAGGTAAAAACAAAAGGAAAACTGCCTTTGAACTGTAAGACATTTTCAAAACCACAAATTTTAGAGCAATCGCCGTGCTTTTCCCCCTTTCATACTATCAACACGCGACTGTTCGACTCACCATTTGGCTGTGCTCATTTATTTGGATTGCCGCCATTGGTCATCTCTTATTCTTCATTCTCAGTGAGTTTTTTCTTCTAGAAATTTCTTCTTCCAGTCTCCTTCTAGAATCTCCATTCAAAGTTCTCTCTAGGGATCTATTCAGAAACAAACAAAATGAGTAAATTCCATCTCAAAGATCGTCTAATCTAGCCTATCAAAAAACCGGTGAACAAAAATCGAGAAGAGATAAAGGTCAAAAAGCGAGGAGTGATTTGAAACAAACAAGTTTATTCGCTTTATTGAAAGAGCCAGTCTAGACTTAATTGGGGCAATCATTGAAGTTCAGTAATGAAACTCTGTGAAACTGAATATCCGAATAGCAGTACAACTTATATTACGATCGGTGAACGAAAAGAAGTTTTTCAGAAATTTGTCCGGGTGTCCAATTCAACGCAGTCCAATCATATCTTGCCATCTCTTCGTGGTCCGATTCCGCTAAACGATGCGTCAATTTCTTAAGGGTTTGTATAAAACGTTAGCTATATCTAAGATCAGTGATCATTCGCAAAGTATAGACCTTAACAATCCCGTTTCTCTAGGTGAACATCGAAATGTATTTGTTGATCAGTCTCTCCACAATTTCTCTTTTATCTGATATGAGCTGTGCAGCAAGAGTGCTCTTCAGTTCGGTGAGTCTAAAGAATACGAAAATACTCTAGAATTCGAAATTGCTTAAGCTGCCTAAACCCAAATGTTAACATTCAGACAATTCGGACCAAGATGAAAGCCTCGGATCTTCAATTTTTATATCAATCCCTGTGTGCATCGGTATTTCTTTGTATCGAGTGTGTGCTGGCGGGTTATGTTGTAGCCACAGCTACGGTGATACTTTTAGCAATCTATCTTTAATATATATTAGACAAAACTTTCATAGATTATTGGGGAAATTACAGATCACGAACCTCACGCAATACTTCGTGCTCACCACGATGAATCGAGTGTTAGGAAGGGCGATATCGGGGTGTGTGTCATAAGAACTGAGTACCTTTTGGGAAAAAAATGTCAGTAATATAAGTCAGAAGTTAGGTTATTAGGTTGTCCCATAAAAATCCAGAGATTTTTTGTTTTAATCACTACTCGCTCACAACACTACGTTTTGTATTCATCTTTTTTTCTTTTTCATGCTAAAACTTTTTTCTTTCTTGCACTAGCATTCATTTTTTAGGGGTCGACACGAGAAGAGAGTTGCAGTCGATCGAATGAAGCCAACTCGAGAAGAAAAAAAAAAAAATAAATGAAATTCAAAATCTCTGGGTTTTTATGGGACAACCTAATATAAGCTTAGAATCTCAAGATTTACAAAACATTATCATATGCCAGTTTTCAGCATTCTCGTGCTGGTGTTCCATCGAAAGTTGCGTACCCGGATCGTCCTTACGCTATTCTCGATTTGCTTGAGTCCAGATCAGCAAGTGACTCTGGTCAGTCAAGCTAGTAAAATCTTTTTGCATTTTTGAGTGAGAATAGGAAAAATATTGTGTTTGTAGTTTGAGTAACTGGATGGAAAAAGTAAAAAAGATTCTCGAGGGATTGGGAATCTGATAGTCTCTGCCCCAAAAATATCAACTAATATCTTTGGAGTTTTCGCTTGAAAAACAATTCCCGAGGCTTCAATTAAGATTTTGTTGCGCTTGAAAGGGCGGATTTGAAAATGCAAAAAAATTGGGATGATGACTCAGAAAGATTTACAGCTGCCTAAAAAGAACTATTTTGCAAGAAGAAATCGAGATGGAAGAATTCCTTTCCAGGTCCAACCTCTCCGCCCTCATCCGCCAGCCGAACGAGCGACGAAAGAGTCGAATAAATCAACGGACACCAATGGAAGTGCCTCTCCTTTTCCACAGCGCCTTCGCTCATCTCCTATTTAAAATTTCTCATTTATGTGCATCGATTCTCAAAACAATCTCTTTCTGTACATTCTGTATGATTTTAACACTTTTGTTCTGGGTGCAAGAAAACGATTTCATGCCAATGTTTATTGCTTTTGTTTGCAACACATTTATCCACGGTAACGACGGAGTTTCGCGACATAGGCTCCGTTTCGGGGTGGGCACTTTAATTTGAATTGTTATGCTGATGTTAAACGTTGTTAAACTAACCGGACAGTAAGCAGCATCCTTGCCGGGCTGTCCATCTGATCCGGCTTGTCCGGCTCCTCCTGAAAATTTGGATTTAAGCATTTTACTGTTAAAACTGTAAAGTATTTCAAAATCAACTTTCACTAACCGGGAATTCCGTTGCCTCCAGGTTGTCCAGGTGCACCAGCTGGTCCAGCGTCTCCAGCGGGTCCAGGTCCTCCAGGGCCTCCTTGCTTTCCTAAATCCCAATTGTTAGGCAAAAGTTCAGTTTATGCTTTGATTATCTTAGAATTGATACTCTTACCAGGATGTCCAGCGGGTCCAGGGCGTCCAGCGGGTCCGGGACTTCCAGGCGAGCCACTGCTCTGCACAGCATCTCTTCCGGGCTGTCCGGGAGCTCCAGGCTTTCCATTTTGTCCAGCGGGACCAGGTCCACCCGGTTGTCCGGGTCCTCCGGGATGTCCATCAGATCCAGGCTGGCCAGCTCCTCCAGGGGCTCCAGGGTTACCCATTGGTCCTAAAACGAATAGTTTCTCCAAGAGAATTGCTACAGTATACCGGCTGATCCCATTGGTCCATCGGGTCCAGGTGGTCCAGGTGGGCATTGAGGGCAATCGTGGGCGACTGGTGGGCAAGAAGACGATGGATAGACATGGTGGTTGTCTTGTCCAGCTGGGCCAGGCATACCAGGGGCTCCGGCGGTTCCAGCGGGTCCAGGTGGGCCGGGTGGTCCGCGGGGGCAGTTAGGCTTGGATGGAGCGCATTGACACCAAGCGGGGAGACCGTTCGCCTGACGTTTTGGACGGAAGATCGAGTTGAAGGGATTTTCGCGGACCGATGGAGGAGATGACTGAAAGGGAGGGATTGGGTTAAATATTTTATATTGTGAATCATCCTACCGAGATCTGGAGATCGATGATGCTTCCCCAGGCGGCGTCGGCGTCAACGCTGAACACCTTGACGGTGTCGCTCACACGGGAGTGAACCTGAAATATTTTTGGTTGAATACTTGTTGCTTTGGCGTACTGTACTGGGAGTTGGAAATATTAGTCAATTACAAAAATTTCTTACATCAGACAGATCGGAGAGGATCTTCGGGAAGGCATATCCGGCCATAAGCAAGGCAAAGATGGAGCCAAACGTGGCGGCTCCCACAAGTACTCGTTCGACGCTCATCACTCTCGAAAAGTCAAGACGGACTACTCCCAAAGTTCCCCATTTACTTATATACTCACCAAATCTTTTTCTAATTTTCTCTTTTCTCTCCCGATCTCAAAATTTAGGGGTCAAATGCCGATGTGAAGGCTAATGTGATTGCGGGGGTGATTTTGCGAAATTACCAAAGAAAAAGAGAAAAAGATGCAAAAAGACAAATCCTAGCAAGGCTTTATTACCCGATCCCCGGGCATTCTCTCTCTCTCGGAGACTATTCGGGATTTGAGAAATGAACAGGGTAAATTTGTTTCCTTTTCATTTTCTCCTTCTCTTTCCCAAGGTCAAATCATCAACAACTTTCCCGAGATTGAGAAAAACAAAAAATATTTTAACTTGAAAGTTTAAAAAGCTGATTTGCTGTTTGCAATAAACCCGTTTTTATTCTCATAAAATAAAATCGACATATGTACAAGGGCTAACATTCATCTATGATCAACACAAAAAGGTTCTAGACGAGAGTTGTCGGCGGCTTTTCGATACTGAAATTGTTCAAAAATTTGGGAAAATAACGATTTTTGAGACGTGTCTCTAATAAATTATCTTTTAAGCTCTTAAAATATCTTTTAGATTTTCAATTTTCTTACGTTTTCGAGCTTGAGGGTCTGTTTGATCGAACACTCGCCGGTCGATCGAGCGAATTTTTTTCCGATGATCGTCTACCCCTCGAAAAACGGGAAACCGAACGAGAAAGCTATAATTATATTACATTTTAATTGTAATATAATTCTATTTTCCTTTTGATAAGTTACCGATGGAAATGTCCTTGTAAACGAGCGTAGACATTTCAAGCGAAAATGTTCCGAGGAGAGGCAAAAGAGCACAAAATTCAGCGTTTTTCCCATGACGACCAGGCTATTCGTTATGCTAAATTGATCTCTAGACGATGAAATATTGTCACAATTAGATTACTAACAAAATACTCAACCTGGAGATTTTGTAGAACATTTCTCCGACATTGTCAAAACCGGCGACGAGCTCCCAAATGGCCATTACCGCTGATGGACCCTAATTACCGTTGGGTTTCAAAATTCAATTTGATTTGTCTACATTTCATTTCCATACTTCATTAATTTTAAAGTGATTATATTTTTCAAGAAACCTGTGTAATGGCAAAGCATAACCCGATCGCAGCCACCGTTGCTGTCACTCTTCGTCTCGTTTTCTAAAAATAAAAATTTTAAACGAATGCGCAAGCGTTTTGAAATATACACAACTAAAAAAATGAGAATTTATTATAAAGAACCTGTTGTGTTCGAGAGAAAGACGAAGTGAGCAAAGAATTCTCGATATTTCTCTCTGTTGAGAGACGCAATGCCCGAAGGAGGCAAATATTTAATACAACGACGACAACCATTGGAACGAGAACAACCTGGAAGGATTATTTTATTATTTTATAATAGACGTCAATATATTTTTAAATATCTAGAAGAATAGCATACTATTAAGTATTTATAGTGAAAGAATCATCACCAAAACAGCGTTGAAAAACGTTGAGCTACGGATGTACATTTGAACAGCTTTTGTCGGGTTGTATTGAGCACGAGAACCAAATCTGAAACATAGAACTACTTTTATAAACTATGTTTATATCTATGCTTTCTTTATTAACAATTTTAACGAACTGTGCAGGATGGGATTCCGAAGCGGGATAGCAAATATCGTAAAGCTGAGTTCCATTGCAGAAAGCGATCATTTGACAATCGTACTCGAAATGATGATAAATCGTTAAAATACCTGAATTTTATTTATTACCAGTCGAATAAAATGTAATAGTAGATTTAGATATAGTAGATTTGTCTAAGGTTTTTGCCAACCGGTTATCAGAAAAACCGATCCAAGTACAGTGGCCATTCTTCCTCGTTCCCAATAAAGTTTTGCTCTCAATGGAGATCTCACGATTAGGAAACGCTCCAATGAGACTGCCAGAATCAACCTGAATACAGTAATCTTTTATACGTAATCATTTGAGAATGCTCTGTTGCAATTCCGCCATTCCCTCACCAAATCGCAGCCGCACTCATCCAATTCGCAATCGCCGCCATGTGTTGTTTCGTTTTAATGTAGAAATATCGAAAGTGATAGAGTTTTGCCAAACTGTCGATTGAGGCCAATGAATGAGGGACCTGAAAATACAGATTTAATTAGAAAGCAGAAATCCCCGACCATCATGAAAAGAAACATCATATCGCAAAGGGAGACGGCGGCTAACTGAATTCGAAAAGTTTTGGTAAACATTTTCTATTGATGATCCAGTGAAACTCACCAAATCCGATGCAATATTTGCCGCATCACCAGAAGTGAGCACCCAGAATATTAACGAATTCCCCAGTACTCCCAACGTGAATTGAACGGGGAAAACCGTTTGCAAGATGAATCTAAAAAGCGTAATTTCTGAACGAAAAGCCTTTGTAGATATTCGATAATTTTCACTCACTTTCGGAGTGGATCAACAAAGAAGACATATCGATGATCGGGCAGACATTTCTCCCAGGCTGAGATTTTCTCAAAATATGTCACGAATGGCATCTTCAATTAACATTGAGTCTAAAGTTAATTGAATAATCATATCGATGGAATAACTGGAAAAGAAAACGTTCATTGAACAAAATAATTCACAAAAACGATGATGTCCTCATCGAATGACCCGTTCTTGCATAAAATCTCTTCTTTTCTTTTTGGCTGTGATTTCATCGACTCTCAGATTACATGAGTGCAAAATTCACGCATCAACAAAACAAGGCAAGCGAAGAATTCGAGGGGAAAGAGGTATTTTAAGAATTGAGTGCTTATGGCTTTAATTTACAATTCTTTTTGCATAATTCAAACAAAGCAATTCTTACAATTCAAACAAATCCCAACTTAAATAAAAATCGATAATCTAAATCTAGAAAAGGATTTATTGTTTGAACAATGCCTCAATTACCCAACAAATTATCTCGATGGGAAGCTGGGAAGCTGGGAAGCTTTTTGTTAGTCACGCATTTCACAAGAAGAGTCATTTTCGCATAATAGTTTTTTTCAGAATTTTCCTGAGCGGAAAAGGTTTCAGATTTTTCAACATTAAAAGTTTAAAAATGATTTGTGTAAATTTCTCTGATCAATATGATTTTCTTTCTTTCCTTCACCAGTTCATTTGTAATTCGATATGCAAATCCCCTCACAAAGTATTAAAAAAGAGATTATCGGGAAAAGAGGGAAAGGAAAGTTTTGAGATTGAGAATTTGGTCAATAGATTGTTTAGATCATAATCGATAGTTTGATCAATCAAATTTATAGATAAAATAATGTATTATGAATGTTTGAAAGTTCGCCTATGTCATTTTGTATTAGAAAATATCAGTGTGATCAGTATTTTTTTTCGCATTTTATCAAAAAAGTTTATTATAAAGCACGATAGAAATCATCATAAATTCTCTCTTTATTCAATATTGCAGCAGAAAATCGAAGGCAATCACAAATTGTTGACCCGTTTCAAAATATGACCACTGGCACAAAGTAAAAAGAACCCGATTCGAGGAAATTTGTGAGAATTTTTTTTCATTTTTCATGATCTTTAATCCTTAAAGTAAAGTCTCGTTTCCGTTATGGAAATAGATTTGAAGTCCATCGATCGAGTAGTGCTTTCCATTGCTCAAACTTCTGCAATTTCATTATTTTACTTCTGTAGTTCAACGGAGTATTACAAACTCGTCCTTCTAGCTCATTTTATGAATTGGAAAGTTTTTAAGATAATTTCCGTTTGGTGTTGTTTATTTAATCACTTAATTTGCTACATCTTAACTTTTTAAAACTCACTTTGTCGATGGGATCAACGCATTATCATTTCCATCAACCGGGAGACAAACCCTGATCTGAAAGCTCTTGTTGGATATTATTATTCGTCATTTACTTCTAACTACTATTTACTATTTACTCACTAAACACCACGACTCCTTTCACCTCTTTCTTTTCCTTATTACTTGTCTCCATTCCATTTTCATGTGTTGTATGCGAAGATTGTCCCGATGTCACCAATTTCTCATTGTCATCTTGTGGCTAAATGGTTTCTTCACAAAGAACAAAGGGATCAATCACCTTTTTGTCAACTTTGCAACAAAACACATTCCGGAGAATCGTCTTAACTTCCTCGCGAAGTTGTTGCTAAAGGTTTAGTTTTACAAAAGCTTTAATCCCAGTTCCCAATTCTTGATTCTTATTGTAACAATTCTTACTGTTGTGTTGACGTGTTCAATTTACTAAGCAGTAATCTCACCTGACAAGAAATGAGAATCGGCAAACGAAAAGCACAAGCGACAACCGAAAGAAGAGATGCCACATCGATCAAGATGGCATACACCCTGTAATTGGCAATTTTCATTGGCATCATCATACAAAATTGGCAATTTTCTTCAACTTTTTAATATATCTTTAGAAATTTGAGCGCTTACTTGGACCAAACTTCATGTTGATTCCTTGCATCCTCCGAGTCATTTTGTTCCCAAACAAGTGCCACCAAATGGAAAACATTCGCAAAGAGATAACAAATTCCGACCAAAAGCAATGATTTAGTGGCATTGCGGCGAGCCATCTAAATTTCGATGGTAAAAGAAAAATTGGTGAAGTGTAATAAACGAGAGATCACCATCAAATCCATTATAGGATTACGGGAAAGTTTGATAGTATGAGATTCGATCCAATCTTTGCATATAAAAATATAAGAAGAATCTTGAAACATTACTTGATTAATAAAAATAATATTTCTGATATCTTTTCGACTTTCAAAACTATTTGTGGTGGGACAAAAATGAAAGTTTGAGTTGGTTTGAGTTGGTTGTTGGTTACACCCGGAAGTTGGTTTTCATTTCTAGGCACAAGTACAGTCAGAAACCCATCTACAGTACAAAACATATCTAAAACGACTAAATCTATGCAAACTTTCGATCAAATCTCTATCAAACAAGTGTGCTTTCAACCACCGGACGATCACTGGACGAGTTACAGGAAAGGGGACAATTCATGACAAAGAAATGACAAAGAAATCAAAAGAAATCAAAAGAAAACTCAAAAGAAAATGTTGTTGGTTTGTATGTGAAAACGTTTAGAAATAAACATAAAATCGATTTGGGTTCTTTTTGTCTTTTGTTTCTTACCAACGACATAATTCTATGAAGGTAGATGCATTCAAACTGGAAACGATCGCGGAGAATCAATTTTGAATACCGTAATTCTTCACAAACCAGATTTGATTGTTGCTATTTGGGAAAAACGAACATATAGATTTAAGTATTGGTAGTCGACTTATCAGTTATAAAGTTATAGGTAGTTCAAAAGTGTACGGCACAAAAGGAATTTGGCTACATGATAGCATATCTATTGTACAATTTCTATTGTACAAACATATCTATTGTACAATTTCTATTGTACAAACATATCTATTGTACAATTTCTACATAGCAATAGCTCTACAATAGTAGGAAAACGTTGAGGGAAGAGTACTCTTCTAGCTATGACGTCATTGATTCTTTCTACATATCAGGAAAGTCTAACGCTTATCTTCTCATGCAAATGTAACGCAGAAAATGTGAGCAGCATTCTTATTGTGTTTTTTCTTTCAAAATACCTTTCTCTTCGTATATTCGATGTCGCTCAAATGGACCATGCTCTGTGATTGTGATGACTGGATAAGAAAAAAAGATATTTGGTTATTGATAGAATGTTAGTTGAAATTATTTTGAAAATTATTAGATACTATTCTAGGCTTATTCATGAAAAGCTGCACAGGGAAACAAAAAAACTTTACACAACCAACTTTTCGTTTTGAAATATCCGCAGCGGCTGGGCCGGCCAATTGAGAACAGACTGTCATTTGGGGTTGACGGCGGAGAGCCTGCAAGAAAAGACTTCTTTCTCTTTTCATTTACACTTACTCGAATAATGAGAAAGTTGAGGATGAGCAAGATGAGAAATGGGGCCACAATTGTCACCAAATTACGGTACCTGAACACACATTTTGCACTTTTCAGAAGATTTGGGGAGAGGATTTTTTCGATTTCTGTTTTTGACATGTCTGATAGTGAGTTCAGAGTTAGTGGGGTTTTCCTTTCAAATTGAGTTCATTTATTGCTATTTTCTTTTAGAATCTTTAAGGATTTAAACCTAGAAATTCGAAATTTCAGCTATAATATTGTTTCTTATTCTTTCGAGGTTTCCAATTGAATGATTAAGCAGGGTGAAATCCTTGTTCTCACATTCTTGGGGGTGTAAAGATTTGACGCTGGAAATAGCGTGTTTTCATTTAAAGCACAAGTTTACCCTGATGATTTTGACTAATATATGAATAAAATGACTATAATATGCATCTCGTCATAGCGTCATAGCGTCATATGCTCCCCCCTCTCACCATAAACGCATCCACTCATGATATTGCGTCTCATAGACGAATTTTCGATTCGTCAAACTGATTTCCATCATCGTTCCCTTGCAGTCTTCGGCTGTTATATACTAAAATTGTTATATACTTGATTAAACGTTTATCAATAAAATATCTAAAATATCTAATAATCTAACCATAAAATAATTTTAAGTATAAAGAAACAAAAACTGAATTCCGGTTTTTAATTTGAACTCTCAAAGATTGCATTATCTGATTGGGATCTAGGTTGTGTACTGGGTCTATTTCTAGGTTGGATCTAGGTTGTACTGGGTCTATTTCTAGGTTGGATCTAGGTTGTGTACTGGGTCTATTTCTAGGTTGTATCTAGGTTGTACTGGGTCTATTTCTAGGTTGGATCTAGGTTGTACTGGGTCTATTTCTAGGTTGTACTGGGTCTATTTCTAAAGATTTTTTCTTCAAAACTTTCACTTTTTAAGCTAAACTTAAACTTTATTATATTAGAACCATTCTGAGTTGATGCTTTTTGCAAAAAAAAATTGTTCCTTTGAAAAATCTTGAAAGGCATTTCATCAGGCCAATTTTCAACCAATTTTCCACCTTTGAAAAGACCAAAAACACCTAAAGCACTCTGAAAAACATTTAAACACTCGAGTTTTCAGAAGGAAATTTTCCTTATAAGATATTATTGGAGGTTTTAAACAATTAAATTCTTGTTTTCTCTCTAAATTACCCCATGAAAATAGCTTTAAAATTTAGATGATGAAGGTTCTATTGGTTTTCCTTTCACTTGCTCTTCTTTCATTGGGTCTTCAAGATGAGGAAACTGGTAAAAGTGGAAAAATTTCTTCGAAAGAAGTTTTTATTTTTAGCAAATCTCGACTTCTACGATCCGGGAAATCAGCCAAAAATGGTGAGAATCCGTTTTTTTTGAGAAACGCCCAAAATTTCAGAGTCAACTTCGCACAGTCATGAAAAGACGAGGATTTGGTGGTAAGCATTAACATTTTTTATATTAGATTTTTAAGAAACTAAATATATTTTATCCAAATAAGAAATCAAAAGTAAATCTCAGGGAAACAACTCGGCCGTCAAGTGTATTTCATGACTCTCGAACAAGGAGGGGACGGGATGAGAGCTTTCTCGAAAAGTCTTTGAAAATTTTGATTTTATTCAAATAAATAGTTTGTTATTTATTATATGCATAAAGTTGTTCTTCTAAAACGAACCAGCAACTCATATCCAATTGTTCCTTTCGAAAAGATTCCCATGATCACCGCAAAAGAGGCGATGAATAGTCGATTCCTTTGTGCCCATTTCAAAGCACGTGAGTTCATCGTTATACAATATCTAAAGAAAGATTACAATTCAGTAGCTGATAGTTAGTTAAAAACAGATTGTGAATTATTTTTCTTGTCTACTAACCTTTCAAAAGTAGCAGCTACAATGAGAAATGTGGACGCCGTCAAGCCAACATGAGAAATCGTGTAGATCGGCCGCATGTAAGAGTACCTGCAACATAAAGATCATATCATTGTTAAGCTAATGTTAAAAGTTAAGTTTAAAGTCTTAAAACTTAAGCTTAAAGTCTTAAAGCTTAAGATAAATTGGATCAAACTTTTCACTAGCTTACCAAATTTTGACAAGCCACGGATCCTCGAAAAAATCTCCGGCCACATTCACCGACATTAATGGCACATACGCTCCAGAGACAAAAGTATCGAAAACGGCGAGTAACATCATGTAAAGATTGTAGCTCGTTCGGTGATGTTTTCTAGAAATGAAAGGGAGACCTATCAGCTTAGAGTCTTCATTTTTTATATAAGATTTTAATAAACAAACCTTGAGGCAAATAAATAGAGGAGCAAGAGATTTTCGACCATTCCGATCAACGCGACGATTGATCCAAACACTGTCACCAAACCAAAACGAAAAGCTGAATTGTCGTGTATAAATTATCAAGGCAAATTGCTTATGATGATCGTCTCACCTATCAATGGTGGTGGAAAGTAAGTAGAACATGTTCCATTCGGATTACGAACCGAATGATCGGATTCGAGGAAGAGTTCAGCAAAAGAAAATGATTGAGTGGGTGGCGGCTCTTCCATCAATCCTAAATGAAAAGTGACAATCAAAAAGTTATATTAATAAAGCAAAAGCAAAAGAAAAATAAAAAATGATAAGAAACAAACGAAGATAAGGCAAACTAAGACAATTTGAAAGAAACTGAGCTTTCCTGAGGTCGGCTTTCGATCATCCAAAAGCAGCAGGGGTATTTTTGTGGAAGCGATGATCGAATTGCGGTAATGAACCGGTGTAGACCATAGGGTGGGTAAGGAGGGGAAAAAGGGTAGAAAAATGTTCTTTTTGAATAAAAAAGACCTCTGTTATCCTTTCCCCCTTGCGCGCACCCACTCCTCCCTTCCCTCTCCCCATCCCCGACGAGGTTGTGTCAAAATCAGATTTCCTCGCTCCCGTGTCTCTTTTCAGCGATTTTCCCAGTTGAAACCATCATCACCATAAAAAGCAGGAAAAGGTTCAAACAAAACCCCGAAAAAGTCAAAATGGAAATTCGGGATTCTTTTGGATCTGAAGGTTGCGGGAAAAATGGTAAGGCTGTTAGATGCGGAAGTTCAAAAATCGGACATATGGGCAAATGCTACTTTAAAAAAAGTTGAATTATGGATTTTAAGCTATAGAAATACATATCCTTTGATCTATAATTTTTTGCTTACGTAATTGCGGCGAGGAAATTAAACAACTGTCATTTCGATTTAGCTATCGCAAATTCAGACGACTCAACTAGAAAGAAAATCGGGAATTGGAGATGATTGGAAAAAGAAATGATCAAAAAATAGGTGAAAAGTGGGCTGAATGTGAGAGGGACAACTGACGGATTGATTTGATTGGAGAAGATAAATCAAACACACTTCAACCACCACCATTCAGCTATGTAATGGAAGAAAAAAGGGTTAGAGGTGTGAGTTGAACTCACCGAAAAGCACCTGGGGATCTCATTTTAGACACAGACAAGCAAAAACAACTTGGAGAGTTTAGAAAAGACAAAATTTCAAAGTGGCATTAGCACTGGTTCCAAGCATTCAAGAGAAGCCCGTTTCTCGATGAACCCAGTCGCCAGCTTTGCATAAAATTATGGAGCTAAAAAGCGCCAAATAGAAGACGTTCAAAGCAGCGCCGTCAAATTTCTCACAATCCAAGAAACCAGGCCGGTTCAAGTTTTATACCAAAAAAATTCCTTGCGTTCTTGGCTACATGGTGAGTGAAACAGTTTTTTAAAAAAAAGCGCTCCAAATGGGTCTCTAAAGATATTCAGTTAACGAACTGAGTAGAACGCAAGGGGCTTTTTTGGCAAAAACTTGAGCCGTCTTGGTTTTTTCGATTGTGGGAGATTTGACGGCGCTGTTTTAAACATTTCCCATTATGCCGCCGTTTTAACTACATCCTAAGTTATGTCTTATTTCAATAAAAAGAATAAATATACAAATACTTTTTTTTCAAAAGCCATGCCTTATCTTGTTTGAAAGAGACTTCTTCTGTCGCCGGGAGAAAGCCCCAAATATAAATAACAGAGGATCCCATTGGGACCACAAAAAAAGAAAGGCAAGAAAAACACAACAAACTAATTCATCTTTAAGCGTCAACTCTGGGATTGAGAAGTGATATCAACAAGGTAAGGTATCATTGCACTTCCAGGATTTGTAGGGATAAAATTGTAGGGATCAGGATAAAACATTCGACGTAGGTCAAATTCTAGTAGTTGCTCAACGATAAATTTGTGTCAAAATGCGCTAACTGTTAACTTGAAAAGCTTAATTTTACTATTTCAAGATTTTAGGAAAATTTGTTTCCCGATTTTGTACAATAGATAAATAAACCTAATTCTAGATTGTCTTATGAGGGCACTTAGAGACATTCAAAAGAAGTTTTGCTTTTTCAAAAAGACCGCATCATTCATCTAGTAAAGAAAAAAGAAAACCGAGAATGGGGTTGTTTGAGTCAAACCCCGCATTTTTTTTCCTTTTAAAAATGGCATAGTGATTCACAGCTAAAAAAGACTAGACTACTCTTGTTTCAGAGAAAAAATCCAATCGAGACAAATGCAGTAAATGAGGCAGGCAAATTGCTCAAAAGCCCACCTGTTTTTCTTTTTGATTATTGAAGAAAATTGACAAAAGAGATTTCATTGATTAGCGGCTGTTGGGTTTATTAAAAGAAAAAGCTTTGTGGTAAATAAATGGTAAACAAAGATTTCAACAAAAGATCAATCTTTTTAAAAAGGAAATCAAGTATCCGCTAAGCTTTACCCTCTGAACATTTCTGTTTTCTGTTTGTCATCGTTGCGCAAGCTTTTAGAACTTTTTAAAGCTTATTTTTAATATTAACCATATTTGTATGTATGTAGATTGCTTTTTTTTTGCTTGGTTTCGTAAAGCCGGAAAAAAGCAAATGAATGAATTCCCATGGCAAAATATTTGAAAATGAGAGCACGTGGATGAAACCGAAGAGAAAAGGAGAGGAAGAAGATCCGCTGTTTCGGAGGTTTCATTGAAAGGAGAAAAGAGATTTGAGAAGAGAATGGGGGATCACCCTCGAGGAATAGAAGAGATGGGATGGGAAGGAGAGCAGAAGGGTACCCTTGCCATCCCTTACGTGCGGAGAATCGGATCGTCGCTCCCGTTATCGGATGATGTCTCCGTTGGAATGGGATTTAGAAAAGACAATACGAAGTCAAGGAGAAAAGACAAGAAGACACTTGAGTGAAGAGAAAGAAATTGGGAAGAATAGTTGTGTCGATTTGGGAAACAACAAGGAACTGAAAGTGAGTATAATCATAAGCTTGGTCATTGGTAAGCCCATTGATACGCACTTTGCTATATCAAGGACACTTATTTTCAAAATTAAAACCGGAAGTTCCTTACAGCGTTTTTATACGTTTCCATTTTGTGAAAGTTTGTGATGAATAAGAAGCACATGGATGACAAATGAATGAACTTGATGAAGTCATTAAGGATCTTTAGATGAGTTCATACAAGAAGAGTTAAGCGTTACACCTTGCTATTCTTTTTGCGTTCTAAGTTTGAGGAAGTGAAACTTCAAACTAATAACCCCAAAACACGAGAGAGACCCATTTCACTCCAAAAAAGGGAAGGAGTGGAGGAGTGAGTCGAGGATGAACTGCTTATCCTCGCCTCTTCGTTTTTTGCTAAAGACCTTTGAGAACACTTTGAGAAAAAAGTAAAATATGCTCTTTTAGTAAAGGACCAATTTGCGTATCTTATTGTTAGAAAAAAGCAAAACAAGTTGCTGAACATAGAAAAAGCGAAGAGAAAGATGTCCGGTAGTAAAGAAAGAAATATCTATGCATTCATTGCGCAAAATTGAAACCATAAGTGCCAAAGAAAATGACTCTTTTGGGATTCTTTTAGTAGACCCAAAAAGCTGAGTTTGATTGCCTAACAAGCGCCATATGTTGAAGTGAAAGGAAAAAGATGTTATTTCTTTCACGATCAGACTCTTTTCGGAAACGGACAACTGACGGTTTTCAATGAGAAAAAGGAAAAGATTTGGAAGAGACGGATGGATCGACGGATCTCCACCATCAATGAATGGAATGAGAAAAAAAGAATGGAAACAATCTTGGATTGACTCGGGGGAAAGCAATAATGAGATGAGATCATGTGGGATAATTGAACAACAAACAAATTTCGGATGATTGATCTGATTCTCGTTTCCAGATGGATTTCAAAAGAGTTCAAGGTGGATTGATTGGAATTCGATTGGAAGACCTCTTTGTTCTCACAAATCTCATTTCCAGCCTACTAGTCCCGGTCAAAAGGTCCCATTTTGTCCCATTGCCACTTTACAAATTCATATCCCAAGAATGAGAATCGATAACGAATCTAGCCCATCCATTTCTTGTGCTCATTTTTGGGGGATTCCTTTCGTGAAACCCATTCGAGTCTCCAGCCGAAAAGAGAAATATTTAATGGACAACCATTGTCGGGCATTTCGTTGGCATATAGATAACTGAGAAGTGAGTAGCTAGATGAGCAAAGCTTTCAAAAATAGTCTAGTCAATTAGATTTGACAGGGTAAGTTCTTGTCCATTTTGCATTTGTCTCAAAGTTTTTGACATAGTTGAAAGAGTGAGCCCCATCCATCCCCTTTCCTTTCCTCGACCTGTAAACCGACACCCTTGTGAACTTTCGAGGCTATTCGAGATGAAAAGAGAACTTTTAGAAATTTTAAGAAAAGAAAAACTGTTTTTTCTCACATAAAAGAAGCCAATAAAAATGTGAGCTCCGGTGGGAAAAATTTAGAGTGCAATGAGGATAAAATAACCGAAAAGGGGCAACTAACACAAATTTTTGGGCACGATGAAGAGAATGATAACTCAAATGTTTTCTAAAAAAGAAAATCATTATTTCACTAACACTTGAAGGCTAAATTCTTGCAAATTGAACTAAGATTTCTTAGTTGAAGGGTCAGTCAGTAAAAAAAAACGAGGTTGAGTTGCAAAAAGGGATTGAGTGAGACGCGGTGATGGACTTGGATCCGACTTGTCACACGTTTCGTTTTACATTAAATAAAAAAAGGGAAAGAACGAATAAGAAGAAAAAGGAGAAGAAGGAGAACTCCCATATGGGACATCAAACTCCATCTCTTGAAACTCCTGAAAAGATATTGAAATAGATTCTTTTTGTGAGCTTAAACTTGAACTAAGTAGTGGATCAAATAAAAGTTGAAACGTCAAGAAATTAATTTGAACGACAACACGTAAACAAGAGCTTTGATGCTTAAGGGACCACTCCGAATGTACAAAGCTCGAAGCCTTTAGTTTCGGGCTTCAACGCCTGAATACCCTTTCTAAAAATCTGCTCAAAGCAATGATATGAGGAACTGACTTTCCCCCATTTTCTTCCTCAAAATCCCATCCCAAACTCGGCTCAACCTACGAATTTCTGATTAAGCTCTTTTGATTCCGCGCAAACGTTTCCTCAATTGCTTTTCAAAAGTTTGGAAACTTTTCCCAAATTCCGAGAAAAGCCCTGAAATTGGTCAAACTTTTACCAAAAGATTAATTTGA